CGACGGCGAAGAGTCTGAGGCGGACGACTGGTGTGTTAGTCCGATGAACAATAGCCGAGAGAATATAGATAGGTAGGGTAGGAGGGATGTATGGTACGACAGAACCCAATATCTTTCTGTAGTCCTGGAGGTTTTGGGTTTGGGGTCTCCTTCGTCTCTGACAGTGATAATGGAGGATAATGCAAAAGGCGGGAGACGTTTCATCGTACCGGGTCTCTTACAACAATACAAGTTACCGCTGCGTAACTAGTTCTGTGAGTTGGTCCGTCGGGAGTGCTCGAGTATACATCCGACTATACGGAATACATATACAATTACGAATTTCAAACTCCATTCAAAAATTCTAGCTATCCTCCATCCTTTATTTCTAGTTTATATCTTCTCTCATAGATCCCCAGCGGCCATAGCCCTCCCTGATCCATCCCACCAACCCCCCGTCAGTCAATTTTGACGTTCTCCGTAATTTTCCCGGCGTATCGTACCGTATCGTACAAACAACAGGGCGCTGCGGGCCCATGAAGCGGGCCTGGCGTCAAACCATAAACAGCCTCACCCAAAAAAAAAAAAAAAATAATAATAAAAAAGCCCTTCGTAACCCCAACCCACCTGCTTCCATCCTCAACTTTTGCTTATCCCACCGCCTCCACGCCCGTCCCCGGCCCACTAGCCAACCCCCCCATATCTACCCTCGTTCGACGCAGAATTGGCAGAGCTTTCTCACAACCTCATTTATATGTCGATTTTTGATGTGCCTATTTTTAACTAACTCAAGGAATAAAAGAAAGGGGGGGCCATCGGCTTCCCCCCGGTTCCCCTTTGCACGCACCCCCCTTGGATGATCGGCCTAGCACGGGCAGCATACTATACTCCTCGCTCAAACTGGAACAGGAGGCGAGTGAGGAAGTTCAATGCATCATACCTCAGTTAAGGCGTAAATGCGCTTTCTTCTGGTTTAACCATTTGTATAGATTAACCCATTATATCAACCTGGCATCGTGTTCATTTGATACCACTTTTTAATTTCTGCTTTAATTTCCGCTATAGTTGAAGGGGGATATCATACTTTTTTGTCTCTACCGCCTCAGGAATGGAATTTAACATATACTACTTTGAGACCTTAATGGAATTACACGAGGTTAGGTGGGATATACCAGAGTAGCAATAATCTGATAAAAACAAATAGGTAATAAACTTTATATTATCAACCCTTTGAAAAAGAAAAATATCTTTCAAATACCCATTACTATCATTCTACATCTGTCCAAAATCTCTCTTACTCTACACATCCTACGCAGTGAAATAAACAACCATAAACCCGACCCAACTCCCCACAACCCCCAAAGCAGCATACGAACTAGTAAACATCAACGGCAAAAACTCATACCTGCCCCCTCCAAAGACCAACCCATGCACAAACGAACAATACACAATCAACGGAATAGCCACACTATCATACAACATCGAAAACCGATCCAGCAAGAAAACTCTCGGCCGCACAGGCACCGGCGCCAGCCTCTCAAAAGCAAACATAAACAACACAAGCCAGAAAATCGTATAGACGATCTTGACGGGAAACTCGGCGGCGGTGAATAGCAGCGGAAAAAGGGAGACATGCCCCGCGACGGCGAGCGGCCGGAAGGCGCTGAAGTATCGCCGGTCCTTGAGGGCGAGCAGGCTGAAGGGGATGATTACGAGGAGGATTGCCTTTTCATGGACATGCCAGCCGAAGAGGAAGGAGGCGTAGCCGCAGAGGGTCACGGCGCCGATGAAGGTGTCCCAGTCTGGTTGGAACCAGAGTTTGGCCAGGCAGAGCTGTTTTTTTTGGTTTTAGTTTGAGCTGAGTACGCAGAGAGGAGAGGGAGGGGTGTTGGCTAGGGATGGATGGGTGGAAGGGGAAAATCGGGGATAGTGAAAGGTCTGCATACCAGTTGGAAGAAAAGAGTTAAGCCGAAGGTGTGTTCTTTTGTCACTTCGGGAAGAACGGCGAAGGAGGTATCTCCCACCAGCCCCCTCGTGACGCTACCCAGAGCACTTGGATCAACTTTTAAACCAATAGATGGTGCGACTGGGGTTTGTGGAATGAAAGCATTGTTAGCTATTTGTTTTGCCATTGACTATAGGGATGGGAAGGAGCAAAAAAAAAAAAAATGACTGGGCCAGCCGAGGCATATAACATTACCTAAAATAAGCACCCGATCAACAAACGAGTACATAGCCCATACGTTCGGCGCCCAGTACGCATGGCACAGTCCACGCGAGAACGGAAACAACCGGGCCTTAATCTGGCCCAACTGGCCCCAGTAAACAAACGGCCCAAAAGCAGCACCAAAGACGCTCAACACACCGACACCAAGTTTGATGATGTTACCGAATCTGGGGCGGAAGATTGATGGCGATTTAGGGTGCAAGCAATAGGCGCGGAGCAAGTAGACGAAATATGCTAGCGAGAGGTAGAGGTAGATATGTTTCAGGCAGAGAAGGATGGCAAATGTGATCCCGCTGTGGAGGAGAGTGGATTGCTTCCGGGCCAGTACAAGGGACAGGATGAAAATCCCGTAAAGAAATCCGTTGTATTGGAAGTGGATGTGGTCGATGATTAGGAGGCCGGGGGATAGGAGGATGGAAAGCGCTGCTGCGTGAGCGAGCCGTTTACTCCCAAGTTCCACTGATTGGATATGTCTACGCATTTAATTTTTTCCCGAATTAGGACAAACCACCCTTCAACCCCTTTTTTTCAAAGCGGAAAGGAGAAACGCACCGGTGAAGTGCAAATACAAGAACAAGCTCCAGCGCAATGACAGAGAATCGCTGGAAATAAACGGTTTGCCAGGTGTCATAGTTCAGATTATCCAGTTTCAGCATAGCTGGGTCAACATAGACAGCCACCTGCGAGAGTAGCCATTCTAGCGCGCCGAAGAACGGTGGGTAGTCCAGAGTCCATTCGGAAGTTTTCTGGATATCAAATGTTAGTTTCGTTTAACCAAAATCAATAACCTTGATTGAAAATAGCATAGAAAAATAAAATTAAAGTAAAATAATTGGAGTCATAGACAACAAAGCTCTCGACACAACATACCTCGTAGTACCACTTTTCCACAGGCAGGGAATGGGTTATTGCCAGCCAATTACGGTGGACTTCAAAATCTGTTGATTTACTTCAACAAAGAAAACATCCGTTAGTTCAAGCACTTTGATTTTCATGCCTGTTTGAGTATTCAACTTCTCATATCGAATTGTTTTTTTCAGGCTTTAAAACATACTATGCTGGAAAGAGCAGGACCTTGAACGCGGTAGCAATAACCGCGCATTGCGCCAACGAGGGGTAAAAGTCCTCCATAGGACATGATTGTGGGGAAGTTTACTGAGAAAAAAAAATATAATAATACACAAAATGTGGAGAAGAAGAGAAGAAATTCGGCGCCCAACCTGTCACTCCTGATGGGGCCCGAATTGAAGCTCGATATTTCTCGGGGTGAAGTTGAGGTTGAAGCTTGGATGTTTGCTTTGTTTGACAAGTCGAACCTTGGAACCCAAGGTTGACGTTTTAGAGGTCACATGATCTGTCAAACTTCCACTTCCCTTGTCACAAAGCCAAGTTACATCTTGGCACGTTTGGCACGTTTGTTTGATTGTAAACAACTTCCCCTTAAAACGTCTGAGGACAAGCTGGCCGAAATAAAGCGTTTGAATACTAATTCATCTATCTTCTTTGAACAAACACGCGCCCAATGAGGAACGAAATTATAGGCTAGATCAGCTTACATTAGCAATTTCTGTTAGATCTGATCATACATTTATTTCCTTCATTGTGTCCCATTCTTGCATCTCAACCATAGACTATTGGAGCCCCGCAAGCTTTTCTCCCAGTCTGAACTTGAGACTTCAACAAACCTTGCAGATATAACTCGGCCTTGTTGCTGTGAGGGGCGGGATAATAGGGGTGCTGTTGGGAATAGCTTGCGGCGGTTGTCTTTTGTCCTTTTCATATAATCTTCTTCACTTGGATCTACCATTTCCGGGGATCTGTAATATCATACCCCCCTCCGTGAATCCGCAATGGTTCAATCATGGGGAATTACAAAATTCCTGACTCTGGTTTCAGCCTTTGTTTCAGTTTCACAGGCAGATTCTATTATTGAGAAGGCGAGCTTTGGTCTCAATGGGAGGTATGTTTATGCTATTCCAAGGTCGTATCTCTCTTTGACACCAAGACTGTTTTCTGACAGTTACATTCAGGATATCGGCAGACAAGCATTTAATCCCCGGCTGGCAGCTGTCTGGCACGGGGCATACCCCTCATAAGGTGTGATCCAATACTTACTGAATATAGTATGACAAGGCTTTCTCTCTAAAAAAAAATGATCTAGTTGTCTGATCGGATCATTTTGACGCCTCCGTATACGGGCAACAAACGGGGTTCGCTGTGGTCGGAACAGCCGTAAGTATATACTCTTACTACCCTGCTAGATGTAGAGAGCTTGAGAGATACTAACTTACTGGAAAGGTTTGATAAAGCCGAATGGACTGTCGACTTCGAATTCAGGTCCAATGGTGCGGATAGGGGAGGCGGAAATCTCCAGCTGTGGTACGTGAAGGATGGACCGTCTACGGTCTCAACATCGAGTATATACACTGTTGGTAAATTTGATGGATTTGCTCTTGTATTGGATGTGCAGGGTGGAAGGGTAAGTCGTCGATGGCCCTGAGGCTTATATTATATATAACGTTCCGCCCCCGGTGCGGGTCCCCTTGTTAACTGTTTTTATCTAGGGTGGAAGCATCCGAGGATTTTTAAATGACGGCACCACAGATTATAAAACTACAAACGTTGACAGCCTAGCATTTGGACACTGTGACTATGCATACCGAAATCTCGGACGCCTCTCTCACATTCAAATCCAACAAACGAGATCAAGGTTCAAGGTTTTGGTTGACGGCCGTGAGTGCTTTGCAACAGAAAAGGCGAGTTCCCCACCATTATATAAATCATCCATTGTGTAAATAAATATCCAACTAACAGCCAACAGGTGTTTGTTCCATTGGGCAACACTTTTGGAATAACAGCCGCGTCTGCCGAGAACCCAGACTCTTTTGAAGTCTTCAAGTTTGCCTTGAGCATACCAGATGCAACAGCTCCTGGAGAGCAGGGATACCAGCATCGGCCTTACGAAAACCAGCAGTTCCCAAACCGCAACGCCCAAAACGCGAACCCAAACCAGCAACGAGCGCCTAATGTTGACAACAGTGCCATCGATCAGCGGCTAAATGACCTGCAAAATCGTCTGAATGCGCTAGTTGGCACTACCGAAAGACTCTTGACTGAGATGCATTCACTATCCAGCAAAGTCGATGAGCGTCATCAGGATACACTGAAAAAGCTAGCTCCAAGTCGTGACCAGGCCGGTCAAATAGAACAACGGATGCAGCGTATTGAAAACATGATTCAGGCCGTGCAGAAGGATGTGAAAAACTCTGAGCTCAAGAAGCAACTGAACAAACTGCAGGACTCCTTGAAAAATTCCCACTCGGGAGTGATTGAGCAACTCCAGTCAACTTCACATCGTACGTATATATCTTTCGCTCTCTTGAAAATTTTTAGTACCTTTTTATGACCTGCCATACTGGAATTATCCAAAAGAAAGCCCCAAAACTCACTATAGAAACTTCCTTGCTTTTAGAGATACTATCTTCCACGCCACGAATGGGATTCTTCATTTTCCTAATAGTTGCGTTCCAACTTGCCCTTGCCGCTTCGTATATCATGTACAAACGACGTCGCGCAAACATGCCCAAAAAATTCCTGTGAGGTGGATAGCACTTTACTCTTCACCATGCTTCCTCTGTCAGAGAAGGAGGGGAAAAAGGAAAAAGAAACCCCCGGGCACGCTCAAATGACGGACCAAAATACCGAACGAAACAGCAAAATGAAACATGACAACGCGATAAATATAAGGAATGATATCACAAACAAAGGAAATCGATACGGTTATTTAAGCGGAAAGAGAATGGAGAATGGAGAGGAAAGATTAGCAAAAACCCACATGGAGCGAAATGAGATATTTATACCCAACCCGCTAGCTTTTGTGCCTTCTTCGGTTGGCAAACTACCTCTTGCCCCATATTTGTTACACTTCACATTAGACGACAGCCTTTCTTTGAATTTCGTTTACCGTTACCCTAACTGCCAGCCAACCAGCCTGCTTCACCTTCTGTTTGTTCTGTTCTATGGCTAACCTCCTGTATATTACCCCTTTTGCTATTATTGGCAGTATTTTTCTCTCGATTTTCGGTTCCAGCAACATCAGTTGCAAGGTTGAAAATTCCCACTCCCATGTTTTCGCTTTCTCTCTTCCTCCTTCCAATCTCACCTTATTGATCGTTTCTTGCTCATGTTGTGCTTCTGGGGGTTTTCTTTTCTCTCTCTCTCTCTTTTTTTTTTTTTTTTTTTTTTTTTTTTTTTTTTTTTTTTTCTATTCTTCAAATTCACCACCTATTTTTCCATATATGTCCGCTCCTGTTGTGCTAATGCTTAAATTTCATCCATGATTTTTCCCTCCATACCCCCATTTGCTAACGGCTAGGAACGTTCTTATTATTTATTGTCTTCCTTTCAAGTTATAAGTTATATCAAAATGGCAGCAGACGCGTTTAGATTGGATTGAATATTATATTAATATAACCCCCAAATACCATTTCACCACCGTCAATAGTAGTATATATTCATTTCTCTTCACTAATGAGCTTTGAAATAACACTCGAAAAGTTATTGCTTCCGGCTACTTCCTGGATTAATAATGATTTAAAGGATCAATGTTTTACCAACTAGTTAGCGAATTAATAAAAGAAGCCCATAGAATAAAGAAGAAGAAGAAAAGAATACAAGATTAGAAAAAGAAAGAAAAAAGAAAAAGAAAGAAAAAAAAAAAGAAAGAAAGAAAGAAAGTCCTACTTCGTGGCCATCCCGATTTACCCGCTAATTAACATTGATTTGATGGTCGCCCAAGGAAATGCCAAACCTAAAATTAATTACTGGGTTCCCGAGGCCCTTCCTGCCTTCAGGGGGGAGGAAGGCAGATAGGTTCTAACATCTACGCTGCGTACAAATTGACGTTTTCTTCAATTTTTCACGTACAATACATACACGACGCCGCGAATTGCACGCTGGAATGTCATGTATGGTATGTATATATACATGCAATAAAAAAGAGTTAGCCGAAAAAAAAAAAAAAAAAAAAAAAAAAAAAAAAAAAAAAAAAAAAAAAAAGATATCAAGTTTCTGTCCAGAAGACGGGGGCTTCTGTTCACACACACACTCGGTTCGAGTGGTTCTGTCTATACTGTACATACATGAGCGGAAGATAAAAGCAAAGCAAAGAAACAAACAACAAAAGTAGCTGTCTAGCGTGTTAAACACGATGGATGGTACAGAACATAAAGAGCAACCGAAAGCAATAGCAAAAACGGTAGTTATTTTCTGTAATCGAACATGTATACAGCAACAATGATCACCACGGAGATCCAATTTCAACCCGGCAAATCGTTGACCCGTGATGAGTGTGATAAGGGTCGATGAGGAGACAAAACACATGAGCGTACAGGGTATCAATCACCCAAAACAATGTCTCTGTGAGAGACAGGTAAAAGAAAAATCATCAAAGTCTCAATACAGAAATTTCAGACGCCCAAACTCCAAGCAAACCCACCCTCGCTGGGTAATAAATGTCCTTTTTTGTAGAAGAAATCCGAGAAATATCTCCAATGGCAAGATACAAGATAAACAGGAAAACCTAAGAAAATGTCAAACCAAAACTCCTGTTCGACAAAAAAGCGGATGTCTTCCTTAACTCCGACCCAATGCATTTGAAAAGGAAAAACCGAAAAGATAAAATGAAAAAAACAGCTTTTCTGCTCAATATAGTTTATACAGTAGAATAATATGCTCAAAAGGGCGACATAGAAAGAAAAATAACAAATGAAGACGTATTCGTTTGTAGAAGGCGGCAGTGGAAGGCGAGAGGGATTCTTATGTCCGAGGGGGAGATCGCCGTATGGATTTAACGCTAGGGGGTCGGGAAAACATCGAAATAGCGCAGTCATTCACGGGAAGAGATGTGGTAAGACGGGATTGGCGAGTTCCGAAGTAAAGCAGAAGACGCTATCATTCACCCTCCCCTTTTCAAAAAGGGAAAAACATAAAGTCCAGAACTTCACAGCGAACCATCGCCAGTACCATAGCCGCATACCGGACACAGGCGGAGAATCGTTGTGTCTACTACACCCTATCACAAGGGCATTGAGACGCGGGACCGAGGAACGAAGGAATAAAAAAAAACAAAAGGTAACAAAGCGAGGCACCAACACCGAGATTCGCGTTGGAATGCGGTTTCTGGATGTCATGTTCTATATCACGAGAAAAAGCACAAGAACCTGAACGGGTCAATCATGGGTGGCAGCTGCGTTAACCAAGACCTGCAATCATAACACATGGGGTACGGAGACCGTATCACTCGGTGCTAAACTACCTAACTTTCCTCAGCTCTGGGGACAATGATTCGAAGACCTGTCCGTACACCACGTGGCGGGTGTACCATGGATATAAGAGAGCGAGTACTAGCTAGTAGAAGGCTACTAACGCACCAACGTTCCCAACCCTCTCAAGCAGCAGGGTGGTCCGAAGATCACGAGCGGGAGAAGAGATACTAATAAGCAGTAGCGGAGCCCGAGGTCAATGCCTGGATGCGTTGATTGGCCGAATCTTGGATGGCCCGGAGGAGAGAGATTTCGTCAGTGTCCATGCGAGCACTCTCCGGAACGTTCGCAAGGAGCTGGCTGACCAGCAGTGCGGCCCGCTCAGGATACGCGGGAGCAGCCGGCTGAGTGGCTGCCGCCATGCCTCCGAGTGCGATGACAGCGTCGCGCTCGGCCGGTGCCAATTGAGACAAAGCAGCATCCGCATCCGCATCTGTATTTCCCCCCCGGTTCTGAGCGGTGGAAGCCACGGTAGTTTCCTGGGCGGAACTGTTGGAGGATATAGTGTCTTTGGCATCCTGAGCGTTCGTATCACATTCCGGCGCCACCGGAGTAGCTGTAGCCTGGACGGTTCGCACCGCAGCGGCCTTAATAGCTGCCAAAGCCTGGGTTTCCACATAATCACTGGAAAGGGTCAGCAAGTAAAACACAGCAAAACTATGATACAGGTTATAACAACATACCGTTTGACACGACTGACGAAATCCATCACAACGCCGCGTTCTGACACACGATATACAGCACCGGCTATCTCTTGCTCATCGAAGTGCTCCGCCTCGCTGTCGCTGGGAATGATCTCAATGTCGATGAACTTCGGGTTGCGCGGGCGACGAATGTGTGCGAGACGTCCCCGCCCGATACCATCCAGGTTAGCCAGGTCGTGATCGATGTGGTTCGGGCATTTCCAATGTAGTGCCCGGTTTTCGCTCCCAGGCACCTGTGGCGGTGGGTTGGACCGCGGCGGGTCAAGACAATCCAAATGCCACGAACAAGGACAGTAGTCGCATTGGATGATTGGCCGGCGCCCGTTGGACGTCAAGCCACACCTAATGCAGGTGATCAGCTTTCCCTTGGCATCAGTAAGCCGTAACAAAGCGTTACGTTCGTCAAGACGACCCGTGCGGTTCCCTCGAGGGCGACTACCGCCCCTCGGAAGAACGGGGACTTCTTTGTATACCCCGTCTTCGCCCGTTTTCGCTCCCTCGAAGAATTCACGGATCTCGGGTGGTAGCTCGTAGTTCTTCGGCGGCATGTTCTCCACCGCTTCGATCAGGGGACCCATTGTTCCCTTGACCCTACAAGTAGGGCAGAACCACTCTCCTTCGGGGGGTGATTTTGGGTCCATGGGTGGTGCTAAACATTCGAAATGGAACGAGTCAATACACCCGTCACAGCACAGAAGCTGTCCGCTACCGTTACACAAGCGACAGAAATCTATGTTATCGATTTCGTCCGGTGGCCTATAAGCAAAACGGAATCTGTCAGTATGAAGGTAAACACTAAAAAATAAGCCACATCCAACAGATGGTATGTGAGCTAAAACATATGGAAATCACTTACGCTACAGATTTCCGTGTTCTCTTGGGAGGTTTCTGCTGAACTACTGGGGCAACTTCATCTCCGGCTTCACTCGACTCGAATGTCTCTCTTGATCTTTTGCTACGGGTTGAAGGGGCTGACTGCGGTGTGGGAGAGGCCGTTGAACTGGCGGCAGGGGTTCTGGAGGGTCGAATGTGGCTTTCTGGTACAGGAAAGTCATTGAAGGTCTTTCTCAACGCTAAACGCTTTGCTGCAAGGGCTTCGTCCGAGTACTCTGGATCGTCTATTCTCTTGCGTTTTCGAATCTCGGCGTCTTCTAAAGATGGGAAGATGGACTGAGACCTGGTGGGGACGGACCGTGTCTTTCCCTTGGCGTGTGACCCTCGTGCTCCTTTGCCTTTTGCATGAACAGAGTTAGCCGCACGACCAGAGGTCATTGTAGGGGCGAAGGTTTCGGCATCGAGAGATTTTGCAGAGGATAGCGATGACGAGGTGCTAGCAGCAGACTGGGTACGCGTCATGGTAGTAGCTTCGTGGGTGGGAGCTTCGCGTCGATCTTTTTTGACTGCATCTCGCATAACAGTTTGAAATAGTGATTTCTCATGAGGCCCAGCCTGTTTGCTGAATACTCCCTCCAGAACAGCGAAGAGGAATTGATCTTTACTCGTCGCATCCCTGATGCGTCGCAGGCCATTGACAACTTTAATATCCTTACGCTCCTCTGCGCGCGCGATGGCGGCGTCAACAACTTGTAAAATCTTTTCCGGTGGATATTTCAAAGTAGGCGGCGTGGAAAGTAGTGTTGGTGGATGCGGATGACCGTTAACGGGTGCGGTCTCCGTTTCTGAGTGGTTGTTCCCCATTCTAGAGCGCGTCGAGCTTAAGACTTGATCTCCGTTCTCGAAGGGTTGAAACCCGCCCTCCATGAATGGACTTTCTGATGGCGCAGGCTCCTCCGCGGAAGTCGAAGCAGTTCCCGGCCTGTCGTCACCAGTGGGTGTTGATTTTGCAGATTTAGTGCCGTTTTTCTTGGCAGGAATTGGAGTAGAAGATTTCACAGTAGGTATCAAACCGAGTCGTCGACGTATACTGATCGACGGAAGTACACCTAACGGAGTAGTACTAGCTAGATGATAGGTCTTCTCCCCTTTCTTTGAGTCGAATTTGTAGCTTGGAGTTGGAGGGGGCAATTCAGGCTCAACCCACGGCTCGTCCCATCGTGAGGGGGGTAACTGTGTGTCGGCTAGTGTTGTTGATTGATTACTGGGCTGCTGATCTGGGTGTTGTGCAGATGTCTTTGTCTCCTGACCATACAGGGGCTCCTGAGACGGTTCCGTAGGGCCACGCGCGTTGTGCGCTGTTTTTCGTTGTTTCCTAGGTCTTGTCGCCTCTGAGACGGATGAGGAAGGGAATGGCAAAGACGAATCTAGAGGAGTGGAGGGGCGAGAGTTGTTGTGGGAAGTAGCGCGGGAAGATCGGGTTTTAGGAGCCATTTGCTTTCTCTGCGAAATTGCACGGTTCGCGACGAGGGTTCTTGGGCTGCGCAGCAGGAGTTAGCTCAGGGACGCCGAAGTAAACAAAACGGAAGGACCTACAGGAGAGGAATCCCCAAACTAGCCACAAAACTGCAGCTGGTTACTCGGGGAATCGGTGGTGCGGCCGGCGGGTTGCCTGGCGGGTGTTGAGGATTTGGAGCGGGAGAAGGAACAAGCGTTCGTTGGTGCAAGGGCGAAAGGGGAGCGAGATTTGACCAGCCAAGTCACACGATTTTCCGAGGGGTTTGGCCCAGGAGGGAGCAGCAGCCAACACCCACAGTGGACAACACCAAAAAACACGTCAACCACAACCTGTTGATTTCGGGCCTGAAAAACTGTAGAATGGTAGACCTTGTAGCGAAACCTAGACTGGATTATTTAGTTGGTGAATTTTGGTGTTGTGGAGGCTGTTTGGAGATATAGTGCTTGGTCAGGGGCTCTCACTTCCGGGACTGAAAAGGGTGCAAAGTTGACAGGATTTGGGGGAAATATGATGATGAGGAGGATTCTTAGAGATAGCTGGAATTATCGATGCATCCAGTTTATTCTGGTTCAAAGTGATTGATGTTTGATGAAGAGACAAGAATGGGGTTGAGGGTCAAGGCAAGTGTGGAATGTGGCGCCCAACAAATAGGGAGAAGATTGTAATGAGTTGGATGTGAGAGGGAGATCTCTCGTGTTAGAAGCTCGTGGAAAAGGGCCTGATAGTTAAAAACTGATGGCTTTGAGATATTTAATAGGGGTTCTGGATCTCGAGTAGAGATGACTAGTTGTAACCCTTTTTGACAGGAGAGACGTGTTGGTTGCACGCTATTGTGTGTGTGGGAAGGGTAAAAAGGGGATGGCTAAGTAAGCGGGAAAAGAGTGTGTTTTTCTGGAGGAGGGGGACACAGGGAAGAAAAAGAGAGAAGTTAGAGACGAAGCTACATACAGTGAGAAATCTCGAATGATTTAGAAAGAGACTGAAGCTGAACAGGACAAGGTGCAAGCAGTAATCGAGGGAGAAATCGTGTTGGTTGCTACTCAGGGATGTCCGAAGTGCATATGAACCTTACAGGGGAGATTTAAATTGTCGCGGATGAGTAGATTATCGAGTAGAGAAATATATGTAAACAAGCGGGGTGAGTAATGTAAGTAACTCTGAAGTTGTTGGAAGTTCCAAATTGTTGGTTTTGGAGAGAATCCAAGTGAAGGGAGGGAGAGGGAGAATTTTCTTAAAACCCTAAAGGGGTCAGACGGACGCCGGAACTTCCCACCCCAACAACACTGACAGGGCAACAAGAACAATGTAACAAATCACCCCCCCCCCCCCCCCCGCAAACAACACTGCGGAGTCTCCCTAACAACACAAGGGGAATGCTGTCCCCATTCATTCACTTCCCGTGGCTATGAATGAAGAGCCTCAACAAAGACTGCGATGGGGGCGGAGGGGAAGAGGGGTTTCTTCAATTGAATTTGCCCTTCAACTACTATTTTCACTACGCTTTTTTTTTTTTTTTTTTTTTTTTTAAAAAAAAAGGAGGAGTATTGTGGTATGACCCGTTCATGTACCTATATGTACATGTACATGTACATGCACTAGGTATTTGTCCGGAAAATATATTATAAACCCCTTTTCATCACAATATATCAGAATTTTTCCCGTTTTCCTGATCTTGCTGTCTAATCCAGCTCCCAACCACAGAGCAAAAGAAGTCACGAGAAACAATGTAAACAGTAAAGAGGGACAAAAAGGAAGCAGATAGTATAGTGTATGCATCTAGAGAAGAACCGCATGAAGTAACAATAATAGCATAGCAAGCAAAGTAAAGTAAATTTCATTCTCTTATAGCCTGCATGGTCTTAAGGACCTAACCTGCCCTTTGGTGCCCCTCTTAATATAAGAAAGTGAGAACAGCGATGCCTTGCCTGGTGGATTTCTCTTCTTGCTAGGCGCACACCGCAACCACCGGCGAGATAAAGCAACCCATTTCCCTTGCGATTCAGACTGCCTCCTTAGCAGGAAAAGGATAGCACAAAATTAACTCGCTCCAAGAGAGGTGAACTTGGTCCATATTTCTGGACTAGCAAGGCAAAGACAATAAAAGAACCATTTCCTCTACTCCTCGCCGCTGGATTCCTCATCCTCCTCATCAGCAGCAGCCTTCTTGGCCGGCTTCTTCTTCTTCTTCTTGTTCTTCTTCGTTCCCGTGGATCGCGCCAACGGGCGCTCGAGGATCTTCAAAATCTCCTCATCAGTAATCTTCTTGTCTGACTGAACCTTGGACAGGTCAAGGGGTGGAGGAGCGGCCACCCTCGTCAAACCATTCTTGGTAATCACTGCAATACAGATGTTAGCAAGCAGAACCCCTGAATATCTCAATCCCTTCCCTAGAAAAAAGAGGGATTGTACATAGGGGAATCACAAATATCAGGTTTAAAACGTACCAACAGTGGTTAATAATCTCGACACTGGCGACCCATCAGCTTCTCCAGCAGGGTCATATTGTCGAACAACCCCACCACGAACACACTCAACAACACCAACCTTCCCAGCCTTCTCATCCTCAAGCTGGCGAAGACTGAACGGGAAGGTTCCAAACCTCCTAACGATTTCCGAGAGCGTCTGCCTCGAGCTCGGTCTCTTCAAGATATACGTAGTCGTGGTACGGCGGTGCAGAGTAGCTCTGTACTCCAAATTCTTGACCTTCCCAGATCCAAGACTAAGACCGACCTCGACACCCCACGCCTCTCCAACCTCTGCAGACCCCTCCCCCTTAATGCCCGCGCTAGGCGCAAGAATAATCTTCTTCTTCCCCTCGATCTCATTGTGCTCGAACAACCAGCTAGTCGTGTTCTCCACCAAAGTGCAATCATACGATTTAGCAACTTTCTCCAAAAGTCCCGAAATGGCGGATTGCGTGGGTGGTTTTGCAGCTGCGGCTTGCTTTTTCTCCTCGTCGGAGCCGCTTGCGAGGAGGCCCGGGGGGACCATAAGCCTCAGGAGCAATTCGTTCGCGTAGTAAGTTGCCACGAGCAAATCTGCCTCGCGGCCAGTGACTTTTCCGTCACTGCCTACAACAATTGTGTCGCAGACAATGGTGCCAAACCCGTCGATTTGCGCACCTAGCTGAATCTTGACGACCTCATTGGCCTTCAGCGTTGTGGCGGCCTCCTCCGCATCCGACACTAATGGGGTATACGGAGTGACGAACGAGCTAGGAGAGACGGTAGTTGGGTGGGAAATGCCTGGAGAGCAAACAAATATACGCGGACGACGAATTTGTTATTTTCTTTTTTGCATGATCCCGGAATTGATGAAGGGGTACGTATATATGAGGGCCGGATTGAAGCAGCGGTTTTCAACCGCCAATAATATTATATCCACATACCCTTGGGGACTTTCTTGCCCTTGTAGACCTTGGCAACTTCCTCATCCAGAAGCTTATCACCCTTCTCGCATATCTCGACCACCTTCGCGCCCTCGACACACCATCCTATTTGCAGCAAAGTCAGCTTCTGGGAGGGGAGCGTTGGTCGAGTGGTTCTTTTTGGGGGAATTGAGCAGACGACATCTTCTCAGTCATTTATTTTTCTTGCTTCTTTTTTCTCTTTCTTTGCTTTCTTCTTCCTTTGTTTCGGAAGATCTTCAGAAGAAAAGGAAGAAAGCGGAAACACTTGAAGGAGAACAAAGGGGAAAGGGCACAGCACCTGTAACAGCCTCGAGGACTTTGTGTGAGATTTGGGCAGCGGTTTTGTACTTCGTCAAAGTATCCGGGTTGTTGAGGGTGTAGTCTGTACGTAAAGAAAGGGTGGTCAGTCAATCAATGATGTAATTTCAGGTACAGCCGTTATCCCGGAAGTGCACCTAGTTCACAAAGAGAAAAGAAAATATAAATAAAAACACCACACAGGATAAATGACCAAAATACACATAATACACCGGGTTAAAATAAAGGGTTATAAGCTGGTGGTACCAGCACTTGGGAACACCAGGCAATTCATTGCCCGAAAAGTGTGCGTGCGTATAGAAATTGTGGTTGTCCAACGAACAATAGAACTCACCAATCTCGGTAGATTCGGCCATTGCGGAGTAAGTGGCCTCGCAAAGGATGCGAGGGATAAATCGAAGTCAAGATATGGGGAGGTATAGAATGAACTGGCAGCTCGTTGTGTGTGCGTTATACCAGAAGGAGATCGTTTTAAATAAGGATTGTTGTCGCAAGCTAGGTGTGTGAGTGAGGGGTGGTGGGGTGGGGGGACGAAAGGTAACTATGGCACAGAGGAACGAAACCGAAGAGTTTAGTGGAATTTTACGTGGGAATTTAATAGGAGCTTATAGGTCGACTACCATTACGGGCTGAATACGACGGCAGACACAATGATCCCTGCGAAGGGGCTAATAAATCATTGTATTTCATCATAATTGTGGGATTCCCTTGGGCTTTCATAGGAGCAATTGCGAGGTTTGTTGCCATACGAGTACCTACGTTGTAGATGCCACTCACTCGCTGGGAAGACTCCAGGCTAATATTACAGTACGGTAACTAATTATTAATGAGAGTACTCGATTACTCGTGTATTACGATCACATGATGCTGTCTCTTGGCACTTTCGTGCGCCAAACCATCCACACTACTAGCCTGCACGATGTGGATGTGATCATGGGGCAGCTGGGCATATGGACGATCATGCTGGCTGGTCTTTGTCTCCTTTGTTCAGACCTTACAGTGATTTGTGCTGCTTCCGTCTTGAATGCCAGCGCGTCATAGATGATACGCTTGAATGTTTTACGAGTACTTTTCCTTGCTAGTGTTTCACCACTTGACTTTATATAGATACGACTCTCCCCCAAGCGAAACATGAAAGTGGACCGCCCATTACCCCTGCGTATCCTCACCCATAACATCCGCTATGCCACATCGGCGCCTTTCAGAGGTGAAAAGCCCTGGAAGGACCGAAAGCAACGGTTGATAAACGAACTCCATTATCATTCCCGGCACAATCCCGAGACGTTCATTTGCTTACAGGAGGTACTTCATGTCCAGGTAACCGACATCCTCTCAGGTCTCAACCCCAACGCGAACAAAGACGCCACTGCTGAATGGGCATATATTGGCGTCGGACGGGACGACGGCAAGCAGGCAGGGGAATTCTCTCCAATCTTCTACCGCCCCGCGGTCTGGGAACTCGAAGAGTCCAAAACTGTCTGGCTCTCTGAAACCCCTTCGGTCCCATCCAGAGGCTGGGACGCTTCTTCCGTCCGAATTATCACAATTGGCGTTTTCAAGCACATTGTGAGCCGAAAGCGGGTGCTGGGCATGAATACGCATCTTGACGACCAGGGTTCCAAGTCTAGATACGAAGCGGCGAAACTGATCCTCGGCCTGATCAACCAGTTTCTCACCAAGAACCAATTGGCCGGCCGAAATATCAATGGTGTTTTCCTGGCGGGAGATTTCAACAGTGAAGAGAACCAGGAAGCTTATAGCGTGCTCACTGCGGCAGATTCACAACTTGTGGATGCCCAAAAGCAGGTCGATGCTGCGTTTCGATATGGCAGCGAAAATACCTATACTGGCTTTGGCTACGAGGATGAAGGGCCAAAGAGAATCGATTACGTTCTTTTCGGCCCACAGCGCGGAGCTAACATGTCCTGGATTGTTGACGGCTATGCTGTGTTGCCTAACAAATTTGATGATGGGGTGCTCAATTCGGATCATCGCGCAGTTGTTGCGGATGCTAAATTATTCTAAACTATGTAGCTATATTGGCTACTATCTTTCTCCCCCCCCCTTTTTTTTTTCCCCCTTTCTTTTCCCCCTCTTTTGATTCCAACCCGCTACTATACCACGAGATATTTCCCGCATTTTCATGACATTTATTTGGCTTCTCCTTTCCACAAGAACTCATGTGATATAAAAGGCACATAGGCTGCATGGAATAAACGGAATGTATTTGCAGGTAGTAATACAATAGCATACCTAACAGTAAATACCTATATATTTTTGTAAATACGACTCACAGGCTCATTCCTTCAGTGGTGTGCCGTGCCTCCTTTTATGGCTTACCTCGGTATATATATTAATCCGGGCCCCGACCCTGCTGAGTCAACCGTGGCCATTCCAGCCTCCTCCTCAGTTTTCAGAGCCGCAGCGACGATAGGATAGGATGCCCAAAGCGAAGTCGACCTGACCAAGACAAAAAGCTGAAAAAAGACGGCAAGAGGGTTTACAATTGTAAATAACACCCCGGCGCAAAAAAACAAACTGAGCCCGGATCCGAAAACTCGGCTTTAAGGTTTTTTTCCCAATAAGAGGCGCAGCTTGTCACTCGCCCTTTGGGTGGCCCGAACTTCGCACGGCTGGACGGTGGGTGTCAGCGACACATCCCTTCATCCATACATCGGCTTTCGGCCACCGCAGGTATGTTTTTCCCGGCCCCAATTCCCTCCTGGGCTTTTATCGGGTCTCATTATTTATCTCTTCTGCTATTCTTGCTTCGTACCCCGGGCTCTTGGTCGTGAAGGGGAATCAACGCTCCAATCATGGCGTCGCGACTCTTCCTACCTACTTTTCCTTCCCGAGTATCCTAACTCTGCGCGTCAAATTCCCTAGGTTTGCGTCGTTGGGTATATCTCGGCCCAGGGATAATACGTTATTAACTATTGTCGCCTCAGGTCCTTGTGTCTTCGTGAAGCTTTATGCAGATGATGCGTCAATAGCCACTGTCTAATCCAGTTCGCGAATCCCCTCAACATCCATCCGGGAGTGACACATAGAAAAACTACCGCACCATAACCCCCTGCCTCTACCGCCCTTGACACAACAGGACTCCATTTTTAACGACAATGCCTTCTCCGGATAGCCAGGTGGCCGATGCCCCTGTGCAAGAAACCGAAACCCGGGATAATCCTCCGCAAGATGCGACTACCTTGCCGGAACATGGTAACATAGGGGTTCAAGGGGATGGGAGCTCTACGGCGAACGCGACTTCCAACGGACAAATCGTTAATGGCTCCGCCCCAGCAGCTGCAGCAGGAGAAGGGACACAAGAGAAACAACGAACGATAGAACCTTCTGGGGTACCTAATACACATGCCCTCGAAGGGCCAATATCAAAGGTTCCAAGCCAGCCGCAATCACCAAATTCTACAATCTCACAGGCAAGCGGCGCCACACTCAGCCGAAAACGATCTCGATCGGGTTCGATAATACGCTCTACGTCCCCTCCCCCACCATCCTCAGCCCTTCCTGTCCGCCCCCGTGAAACTCCTGCCGATAAAATATTACTTGAACAATATGTCAATCGAGAATTTCACCACTCTGGGCTAATGGCCTGGAAGAACCCGCACCAGGAGCTTCTCCAGAAAAAGCGCGCCGAAAGAGACTACTATCTGTCTTTACAGCATGAGCGCCGGCTGAATCCTGGCGCAATATTCGGACCTGGATACGAAGGCTACGGAAACGCGCGGACTGACCTAAAATCCCAACATCCCCAGCTTCTTTATCCCTCCCATCGAAGGCGACCAGGTGGGAGGAAATCGAAGGATCTTCGTATATCGCGAGATGATATGCTCGCGCAGGCAGAACAGCTCGAGGACTTGGTTCCCATCCGGTTAGACATCGATTGGGACAAGATTAAACTGCGAGACACCTTCACCTGGAACCTCCATGATCGAGTCACGCCGCCAGATGTATTTGCAGAGAAACTAGTTGAGGATTTGCGTCTTCCTCTCGAGTCTTGCGCGCCACTAGTGCGCCAGATCTCCCAAAGCATCCAAGACCAGCTAGCCGACTTCTACCCTCAAGTATTTATAGAGGAAGTGGCTTTAGATCCCCACCTCCCTTATCACGCGTATAAAAATGATGAGATGCGCATCCTCGTCAAACTCAACATCACTATCGGCCAGCATACTCTAGTGGACCAATTTGAATGGGAAATCAATAACCCACTTAATTCACCAGAGGAGTTTGCAATTCAAATGACGAAAGATCTCTCCCTTCCAGGAGAATTTACTACTGCTATCGCCCACTCCATCAGGGAGCAGATTCAACTATTCACCAAAAGCTTATATATTCTGTCACACCCCTTCGACGGTCGACCGATCGAGGATCCAGACCTTAAAGCATCCTTTCAACCATCTCCCCTCCTTTCGCCCTTCCGCCTCTTCCAATCCGCCAAGGATTTCACACCCTACCTTTACGAGCTTAACGAAGCCGAGATTGAACGTACAGAAGTCTCCATCTCTCGGGAACAACGCCGGCAAAAACGCTCCGTCAACCGGCGTGGTGGTCCTGCTTTGCCTGATCTTAAAGACCGCCAACGAACTATCCGCACACTGGTTGTATCTTCTGTTATACCTGGAGCAGCATCTTCAATAGAAGAGAGCCGCTTGTTCAAGCGCTCGGGTACCAGCCGGAGCAGACGCGCAACTGCCGGCCAGCGGGATGGAGGTGATGAATCAGACGATTCTGATAGCGACGAGTCGTCTGCGGACTCGCCGGCAGTATCTCACCTTTCCCAAGGCACCGCCAGGACGAGAGGCATGAGAGGTGCCGCGTCCGTTGCACAGGCTGCAATGCGCGCCAATCTCGTCCGGTCTGCCACCCCAGAAGTCATGAGCCTCCACGAACCGAGAACCTCAGCTCGACATCGCGATTACAGGGACGAGAGCTCTGACGTGCCTGATAAACTCATCGTGAAATTGAAAATTGGCCGCGAAAAACTCCGCCAATTCTTAAAGGACATAAAGAGCAACAAGACGCATAAATCCTCAGCCGCAAGGGGATCCACGCCATCTACGGGCACGAAGAATGTAGCTCAGACGACAGCCACAACAACAACTACTCGCAGCTCCATGGGTCCGCCGCAATCCCAAGCTCCTCAGCCAACACCACCAAAACGTCCCTCCGCATCGCAGCTTAACGGTGTAATCGATGCACCTAACCCCCCTCAACCAGGGGTCCCAGGGGTACGTAGTTACATCCAGCAACCAACCTCCTACTAACCAACAAAATGTCTACACCACGTCCACTAACATCCTACCTCCAGCCTCCACCCCCATCCTGGCTCGTCCGTGGTTTAAATAATCTCAAACGCTCCTACCCCCGTGACTCTTTCGAAGGTACCATGCGATACACAGCCGTAGACCCGCACACCGGCCTCCCCCTCGCAAACGCCGCAACCACCCATGCAGGCCAGAAGCTGACATATAAATATTTCCCGCGCATCCGCTGCCACGATTGTCCCGGGAAACTATACACACCCGGCCCAGCGATGACTGTAGATAATTTCGAGGTTCATTTAAAGAATCGCCAGCATAAGGAGAGGGTGGAGGAGAGGCATGCGAAGGCGGCGGCGGAGGCGGAGGCGGCGGCAGGTGGTGCTGCTGGCGCTGGCAATGCTGCTCCTTCTGCCCCTGGCACCAGTACTGGTGAAGAAGCGGGTGCTGGGGATGGTGCCGGAGAAAATACTACGGTTTCCGGTATCGATGCCACTGCAGCTACTGCTACCGGAACCACTGCGTCGTCTGCCGATACTGCCTCGTAGATTAGTGAATTCAGGCGGATCAAGGGGAGGTCCTCATAGTATTTTTGTATCGATTGGACACGGAAAGAATGCTGATGATCTATCTCCCTTCTCGCTCGTGGATGTGAGAGATTTGAGAGTGGGGAAGTTTGCGTGAAAAGAGCGTCGTTTTTAGAAGCCTCCCTCCATTTTATCCCTTTATGTCATTATTATTACCTTATTTTATCATCAGCATCATGATTATCTTGCCTACCACATTGTATGGAGTAGATTAATTTACCTCCTCTTTTTGTTTCCTTCCATTTTCTATGCTGCCCTTGATTTTAGGAAACGAGCCAATTATCTCTTTAGTAAATAACTACAGCTACCATTTTCAATTCCTTCCCTATGTCCCGAAACCTCTGTACTTTCTCTGTGGAACTATATTCCGTATTTATTTAAATAGTTAACAAGCTGAGAGGAAAAAATTATACAAAAAAAATCAAAGTTTTTCTCCGATTTCAAAGGATGATCAGAAGTAATTTCAATTGGATGGCGTAGCAGGATATATGTATTTGGGTAAACGAGCTGGGGTTGAAAAAGAATCACCAGGTGAATATACTACATAGGGAGCAAACTATTCCCTATTAAAAAAAGGAAATAACATAAAAATGACAATAGCTATTTTACGTAAAACGATGGATTAACAATCGAATGTCAGATTGATAGGAATATGTAGATAGACCGCAGAAATTGAGATAGGGCTAGAAGATTTGAGCAACATTCCACAGACAAATTAACAATTGACATTCAACGTATTGACAAGGAGGAATATCCCATATTGAATATCTCACTCAAAACCATATAAATCAGATCACAAGGAAAGGCAAAAAGAAAGAAAAAAAAAAGTGGCAAAAAAAGGGCAAAAAAAGGTGTCAGCTAGATGCAAGAGAAGCAAATCCACGTAGCATAGATCAAATCATAAACACATCATCAGAAAAATGATCGATAGCATCAACGCGCCCTCCGTGTCGACCTCCTAATCGGTCCGGCCTCAACAGCAGCGGCGGCAGGCTGCTTCTGATCTGGAGATTCAGTCTCTGTATTACTCGTCCGTCTCTTGCCGGGAGGTTTGCCCCGACCCCTGCCCCTACCTCTCGTAGCAGCGACAGGCGAGGAGGGTTTGTCTTGCTGCAGTTGTTTCTTTCTAGGCGTTTGGCGCTTAGACCTTGACGGTGGGAGAGGGAGAGATTTCTGGGCGTCCTCCATCGGTTCACCTTCATCGTCATCGCCAGAGAGAGAGCTAGGCGTAGCGTTGTTCTGATCTTCCTTTTCCCCTTCCTTCTGTCCTCCCTCCTCCGCCTCTTCTGCTTCCTCTTCTGCCTCAGACGATTCTCTCTCCCCACTGCCGTCTTCTTCTGATTCGTCACTATTGTTCCCCTCTTCCTCCGCTTTGTTTTGTTCCTCTTCCCATTCCACCATTTCCATATCATCCTCGTCGCTATCTCCCTCAGCATATGAAATACCAGCCTTGGTTCCTCGCCCGCTTCTACGGCGGGCTTTTGATTCAGCTTCGCCTAGCCGTCCGCCACCCCCCTCCCAATCATCTTCGTCGCTCGTCTTCCTCCGCTTGGCAGGCTTTACACCCGCTTCCGCAAGTGAAGATTTGCGAATCGGGAGAGACTTCTCTTTACTATCTCTGCGAGCCTTTTTAGATGAAAAACTCGAAAATTTGGCGCCAGCACCACTAGTCTTGCCCATTGACGATAGGTCCACCTTCCGTTTTCGCGTTTGGCTCGGCCCATTAGATGCTGACTGAGTCCTTGGTTTCATGAACAATCGGACAATGCGATCGAGCTTATCATCAACTTCCTCTGCTAAGTAATTTTTTTCGGCAATGGACAGTGCTTCACTGTGGATGGGTATAGTTGTAAAAAGCGAGCTGGGTAGTCGCATCTTGCCAGGATAAGTTTGTAGGATGTTAGCTGCTCCACTGCCACCGCTGCCGCCAATTTTATGTTGCTGGGAATATAATTCTGCGAAGCGACGAGTGGTGGCCTGGGCAAGGTCGGAAAGGGTATACAGGCGAGTGGACATCATTGCTGAGCCGGTGATGGCATCTCGAACCTGCTTGACTCGTTGCATGATGTGGAAGATGAGGGAGAGGTTGTTTTCGTTGGCGACAGCGGACAGATAGAAAAGGATGTATCTGGCGAAATCTGCTAGGTCATCCACTTTAGTGGATTCATCGGATGATTCAGGAGGATAATCAGGATGGTATGCTAAAAGTGAAAGAAGACGAGCGGCCAGTGACTCCATGACTGTCTGCTCTGATCCCTTGTCATTGTTTTGCGACAGGCGAATAAAGAAATGTGTTCGAGATCGCAGCCAGGTAAGTGTGCTGTCCTTCAGGTTTCTATTTGGCTCGAATGCCAGGAGGAAAGTAACAGTATACCATCTCGTACCCAAGTGTGTCGTTTGTGTAAGTTTCTTCTTTAGTTGTCCAATGAAACTTGACCTCACGGGCTCTAATTGATCCTGTGCAACCAAGGCAACAGCATTGAAATCTTTCGGCGTCACCATCTTTTCACAGATTGCGTGAGCGCTACTGAGCTTGATGATAAGCTTTGCGGCGAGTAGACGAAGTCTTGACTTTTGTGTTGCTGGAGAATTCTGTTTCTTAGACAGTTCACCATCGTTGGCAACAAGGGTATTGAGAATTTTGTAAACAGGTTCGGCATAAGAACGGAAAGACTCCTCGTCTTCGGTGCTTTGCTTCGCACGGACTCTGTTCACAAGGACCCTTAGGGCCCATTCCTTAGCAGCCGTCTCATTGTCGATATCGTCAGACCATGCATATCCAGCGGACGGGTTCGATGTCCGATTATTTAATAGAATGTCGTCCGTAGCGATGGAGATAATGGCATCGCCCTCCTCATCGGCAATCTCTGGCGCTAGAAGATTGATTTGGGATATTGTCGCAAGTTTAGTGAGAAAGTATTGCGAATTGTAGGTACAATTTTGGACTGATTGCTTTATCAGGTCTTTGGCATACATCTGCTTCTTATCTGACGTGGCCATAATTATCGAGACGGCATGTTTTGCGGCTTTGGGTGACGAGCTGTATAGGGCGTAGTTGGTAAGAGCAATTAAAAATTTGCGCTCCGTGGGAAGCTTAGTAGGCAACTTCTTCGCAAACCCTGCGCACGCTTTTAATATCTCTTCCACGCCCGCCTCATCGGATTGCTTCGCGCTTGGAGCATGGGATTCCAGGTCTTTGCACATGTCTTGGACATGTGCCTCGAGAACCTCCGGGTTTTGGGATGAGACTTCTCTTAACATTTCATGTGCAGTATTCCCAAGCCCGAGTTCGTCACTTCTCGCCACGTCCATAATCGCAGGGATATGACTCCGATTGAAAATTAAAGAGCTACTCCGGTAAACCAACGGAGTTAAAGACTCGAGCAAGCTTGTAGAAACAGACGTGTTGCCTTGGATCCGCTTCGATAACTCCCTGATTGCCTTCGTAACAGTTCTATAGTCACTGACAGCAGCCATAGCGAAACGAATAAGCTGATAGCTACGCCGGTCATGCATTTTTGCAAATTTCCAGAGGTCCGCTGAAACTTTGGCTTGGTCTGGAAGCATTTTGGCCAGGTTATCAATGACTTTGGTTAGTTTTGACTTGGTAGTTTCCTCATCACTGTCCATTACACCGCCCTAAAATCACTGTTAGACATTGTACCATTCGTATGAATACGCAGGGGACTTAAACTTACGTTGTATTCCTCACATGCCGTTAAGTAGAACGTCATAAAGGTCCTCATGCTTAACTGACGGGCCTGAAGCGCGAAAAAAACCTTTTTAGCCCGTTCATCCAGCCCCTTAACCAGTGTAAGAATACGTCGAACACGGATCATTTCAATATCAGTCTCTGTATAACCTTCACCCTCTCGCATTGCGCTTTTCAATTTCCGCAACTGACTCGAATCGCCCTTCACAGCCTTTGATTTCAGGGGAGGATAATTCAGCGGTAGAAGAAGTTCGAATATCACATGGTCAAGAAGAACTTGAATATCAAGATTATTCGTGTAATAAGCGTCGAGGATTCTTGAGGGAATGTCCTTCAGAATCATTGTAACTTGCTCATTACCCACCTCAATTTCACCGGATGCGACTCCCCACATGCGCGCCAGAATTTTCATGGCATGCTCACGGACAGCGTGCTTTCGATCCTTAACGCGCTCAGCCAGAACGGAAAGAACAGAACCTTGATCGGAAATCCCACCACTGATTCCAAGTTTCTTGACAGTATCCGAGAAACCAAACGTTCCAATTACTTCAACTGCGGCAATTCTGACCCTTTCATCCGCGTCTCCAAGCATTTTCGCTAGACTATGAACGAGATCTTGCTCTTCATTTGTGCTGAGCCCAGAACCACCAGCGGATGTAAGTATGATTCGACCGATCCCTGTAACCCAAGCAGCCCGTACTGATGCAGATTTATCCTGACGTCGACTAAGAAAGCTTTGGTATGCAGTAGAATGAGCTTGAGAAAAGGGTTTAGGAGCGAGCGGTAGTAGTAGAGCATTTGGTTGCGTGATTTGAGAATCGTCAGTCAATCTTGCGGGAGGGTAGGCAGCTGGATCCATGGTCGGTGGTGTTGGAGGGCCTGCGACGCCAATGCCAGCGGTGACATCGCCAATTGTTTGCGTGGCGAGAAGCCGTAGTGATACAGATTCTGCGGACAATTCCGCTTCAAGTTGTGGGATCACGTTTTGAAGAACATCCGGACAAGCGCGCCACACCTCTCGTATAAGGCGATGTGCTTTGCTTAGCTCTTTAATGTTTTCAGCCTCATCATCGGAGTCATCAATGCTGGCGCGACGATGCGCCTTCGACAGTCCATTCGCCCCCGAAGGACCCGAAGCATCTATGATCACATTGTTGAAATACTGGCTCACGTAGCTCGTCATCTTTTCAGGGCACGCGTTGCATATGGCCTTAGCCATGTTATAAGCCGGAGGATACTCTTTTAGTAGCAATGTCCCTTGCTTTGAATCTATATGCACACTGTTCTTTTTACTTTTGCTGCTGGTAGAGTGCTCTACGATCCGCGGATCGACGCGCAGGAATTGCGCAATAATAACATCAATGATTTCCGGCGCAAGAACGGAGGATTCATCAATAATAGGCGCTAAAAGTCGTGTCATATCATATTCCACATTTTTCGCCAGTTCCTCGCCCGTGGAAGATTTCGATGAGCCCGACACGATATCGAAACATGATGAAAATAGCGGGAGAATTAGGGTATCAGGAGCGTCCAGATCTGTCAGGAGTACAATGCTTTTAACGTCCGCGAGTGACGAAAGAACGTAAACGTGCTGCTCATTGTATGCATTAGAGGGATCCGCGAGGGCAGGAATTATAGAGGTGACGATGGTGGTAAATATATCCTATCGCAGTTCTCTATGTTAGCATTCCTTCGCTTCCTGAGGACCTATCCAAAGAATGCCGCCTCGACTCGCATCTCTCTGTACCTTTAGCTGATTGCCTGTAAAGGGGGCGTTTGGGGCGCAGAGGCGCAAAATATCCACCACGCAACAAGCCGTCCATGCTCGCACACCTTTATCCCTGTGTCCCAGCAAATGTCCACTTGCCAAATCCTGGGAAACATTCTTCAGCGAATCCTTATCCGTCTCTTCCTGGTCTAGTTGTCGCAGCTCAAGCGCGAGTGATTCCAGTCTCTCCAGCAAGTCTGCAACCGGGATCGCTCGACCAGCCCGCCACGAGAGCGTATCATTGAACCTGAGGCGGCGGAGGCCACTTGGTTCTTCCTCAGGCTCAGCAACTTCAGGCGTAGTGGCGAGCGAATGTCGAGTGCGCGCGGGCATCGTCGTTTTACAGAGAGGGGGGGCGTGTCTGAATGGATTAGTCGACCATGTGGTTGTTGGCGAAGAGAGAGAAGAAAGGGGGGAAGGTCGCAGAAATCTGGCTATGATTGGTCTGATTGGGACAAACCGGGGGAGGTTTTGCCAGGCTCACAAGCCGCAACTGTGACAGCAATGGGTTCAACGGGAGGCCAGGTGGTCCCGAGCTATCTCTACGCTGGATTCGAAATGCGAAGTGAATTTCTTTTCGCTGGCGCGACTCCGGAGAGACGCGTCGGGGTTAAACTCAAGGTACCAGGTTGGTCACGTGGTATGACGGTAATATATAACCTCTAATTATTACTGTATGCCTGTGTATTTTAACCCTAGCTGTGAAAAAATCAAAGATGTTTGTCGTTGAATGCTTCTTCCGAGTTCGACCCTCGCTCCTGTCCCCTCGTCTGGCCGCGAGGCACAATTAGCGTGATACCATTAGTGTAACAACTAAGCAGTTACTAGCTCAGAAGTACCACCAATAATTTCTCATACTAAATTCTATGCAATCTGATTTGTTGATACAGATTCACTTATCTCATATTTTCTACTCTGTGTTACTGCTGTTCATCATCATCAAATTTCCTAGCCATCTACTCAAACTTGTGTCTGATATTAGTATAAAAGAAAGAGAGAAAGAGAGAATAAAGATAGAGCTTCAAGATTAAGATCCGTGTGCTGTATAATAATATTCCTCTCTGTCAGAAAAGCTGATGTTGACAGGAGTTCTATTCTAATATCTAGTTAATGTCTTAATTAGGGGTAACTAGATCAAATAGATTACATAAATTACACTAAAACACATCAATACAATCGATATTTAATATTCTACGGTACGCGCTAAAAAACCGCGCTAATTGTGCCGCCGAGGAGATTGTTGGTCATGTGAGGTGTTACAAGGATATCTTTCTTATCCTACGAAGTCTCAATTTTACACCTCAACTTAGTATCTGAAAACACTTCCCAGGAAATTGAGAGCGAAATTTTGCAAAGTATCGCACATGATTCTGGTAACTACCAATCTCGCTATATCTACTCTACTTCCTAACTTGAAAGCGACTCATACTCCTAATTCTCGCCCCATAAACATAAAGTAGAATCGGCACCGGAACCATTGCCAGAGACAAAAAGCCCAGCAGGCTCCCAGCCCAGTTAACCCCAAGCTTTTCATACATACGCACAGCAAAGAGGGGGAAAGCGGCGGCGGAAATGCATCGCACGAACGAATTCGCCGCGACGGCAGAATTCGAAAGAATCGTGTACACATCAATAAGATAGTTGACTCCCTGCAGGAAAATGATAATGATGCCCATACCAATGGGGATTCCAGCAAGAGTTTGCGCTACCCAGGATATATCTGGACTGGACGTCCATGAGAACCAAAAAAGGCCGATGGGTAGGCAGATAGCGCCAACGATTACTTCGGGGAGCCGCTCTTCAGGGGGAACACTGCCATGTTCCTTCATCTTACGGGTGAAGTGGGTTTTCGTGCCATAGGCGATGACAGCCAGACCAGCTATGATACCAAGGGATAGACCCAGCAAGGGTAAAGTGGCGACACCTGCGTTTTCCCAGCCGCGGTCCCGGCGAAAGGAGACGGGATATGCGAAGAAAAAGAGATAGAGCATGCCGTAAGTGATGGCGATATAGATCGTCATGAATAGAAGGATGGGCTCCATAATCAACATCTGCGGCGGGCGGGAGAAGTACTTGGTGAAGATATCGCCCAATGTTGGCCTGTGTTCATCCAACTCGGAGTGGAGCGCCCAGTTCCTTGTACTTTGCCGGAGCTGGGCAGCACGACGCTGCAAGATGACAGGGCCATAAGTCTCTCGACTTGTGGCGATTCCAAGAATAGCACAGAGTCCAGAGAGAATACAGGTCAGCCATGCGGTCCAGCGCCATCCGAGATCCGAATCGACGATGAACGACCCTAAAATAGGACCCGCAACAGGCCCAGCGAATGTTGCCACAGCAAATATCGCTACTGCAACTCCGCGTCTAACAGGATCCCAGATATCAAAAATGATGCCCGCAATAGTAGCGGTCGTGGCGGAGCCGAAAATTCCGATCAGGAATCGGAAAATCAAAATCGTCTCAACATTGTGAGCTGTTGCTACAGGTATTTGGAGGATGACGAAACCGCTGAAACCGACCCATAGAGGGATCATTCGGCCGTACAATTCGGATAATGGAGCCCATATCAATGGCCCAAATGCGAACCCCTAAATACCATCAACACCATTGTTAACGTGGGGAGCAGATTTGCTTAGGACTTACGAGTAGAACTAAACTCGTCGCTAGTGTCATGACCACCTCTGAAACGTGATACAGCGCTGCAGTTACCTGAGTGGCTGGTGTGAAAACGCTGCTCGAGAACATGACAAATAATGCAACAAAGGAGATGATCATGGTGATATACCATCTCCGGGCGAGACTCCAGTTCAAAGGATTTCCTGGGTCGGACGGCCCGTCCCACTGAACCAGATTCAGGTCCTTCTCAGTGGTGGTATCCGGCGAGCATGCAGCCTCTCCGACCTGTGCGTCTTTCTCGATATCACCGTTGGGTTGAGCCCCTTCCAAACTGTCTCCTGGGGGAACATGTTTTATCTCGACTCCATTGTTTGGTACATGTGGCCGTGCGTCATTTATACCGTCGTTTGATATCCGTGGCAGCGGAATACTTGCGGTTGACGGAACCGTTGGCGTTGAGCCAATGACCTCTCCCTCTTGCCGTGTTTCACGGTCCATCACTTCATGTAAGCACGATCAACTCTTTGCTTGGTCCTGGCTAGATAATATTGATCCAGTTTTGAAGGGAGGGAAAAAAGATCAAAAGAAAATATAAAGAAGAGAGGAAAATATACGCAGGAGAACGCGAACGCAAAGGTTTTGTATACTAAATTCCGTATAACTTTTGTACGTCTAGCGGCTAGCGGCATTGAAGGCTAATCATTCTAGTACTCCGCATTGGGACAGACCTCCGCTGCCCAGGATAAAAATCTTGCCATATATGTATCCGAGAAGGCCTTTAGTGCCAAAAAGACTTCATCAGATGGCCCCCGCAATATCCCTGTCGCTGCATAACAACACATATTGTGACAAGCACCAGCAGGAATGTTGCTCCCTATCCTCACCAAGGTTGGAGAGATGAAGGGATGTCTTTCTAGCAATAGAATCAATACAGCCTGCTTCACAGCAAGCTCTCCCTCACGACCGTATATCCGTAAAACCCGACGGCCAAACTGCGTAAAATCCAAACGGCACGGTCAGAAAATCTTAACTACATATACATACCGTAGGCCACACTTGTTTCATGGGGGAGGGTTCAACCTTGCCCACGTATGAACTGCCATGGATTCGGCCGCTAGTTCTTCAGGGGCTGTGATAACGGTTTCGGCGAGGATTCTCTTCGGCATCCTTCGTAAGGTTGAACTCTTTCGGCGACCAATGCGGAGGATTTAAGTGTTTGGGCAATGTGAATTTACGTCCGAGAACCACTCCTAAAACCCCCATGTCAAGTCTTTTTTTCGTCTGAGGATTCTGTACATAGTACTGCGTAGGGCTATCGCCTTTGTTCCTTCGATCCTGTATATCCAATAGTAAAACTAGGTTCTCAAATCTAGGCCCTTGTAAGCTAACATTATTTCAGAGCTGAGCAACCCACGGGGCGCCCGAGAGGGGTGGGGTCGTGGTGGACCAGGGCGGCTTTTGACCATCCGGCAGGGATTGATTTGATAAAGATTGAAAATCGCAAGGTTCGGCTGGCCAACATTATTGTTATCACACTTAAAAAGTAAAGGGTTGATTGCTGAGTGGGTGATATATATAGCTGCTCCGCTCGCTATATTCATTATTCGGTCTGTAGCTTTGTCTATGCTCCCCAGTATTATTGCACGGCTGGATCTAGTTTACATCATGATGCTTTTAACTTTTCAAAATACATCTCATTTTTATCTGTGGGAAGTATGAAAAAGACAAGCAAGGCGGACATCCCATTCTGAAAGGAATCATGTCAAGCTGAGCAAGACATTCATTCATAAAACAAGCTTCAACGGACCCCGTCGCAGGGTTGTTGGACATTTCCAAGCGCCGAATGCCGTCAGATGTTTCCGTAACTTACTTGGCAAGTCGTATGCTGGGGCCAACTTTTAGTACGCCTTATAAATACGAATAGCACCTTGACCCCACCTCACCATAGGATGAGAGGATTTGTTAGAGTATAGAAGCCTGAGAAATATGAGAAATTTATAGGAGCGTGGTGAAAATAGAGAACGGTGAGATATTATGCAGTTTTAATTGGGTGTTCATGGGTTGGAATAAATGGTCACTTTTCTAATCTGTAGGACCGTTACTTGGAATCTGTCAGGTCACGTGATCTGGCTTACTAATCCTTCCACCATATAACTTTCCACAAGCTAGCAACCTTTCAATCACACAAGCTTTACACCTCCCACAGGTTATGAGACCCGTTTTGCGCAAAATCGCTGCCAATTCGGGATTCCTTGTCAATATAATCATTATTTGAACTACTGCTTCATTCGATACGCCCATCAGGAGTTAAAATCATCTTATTCTATCAGTATTGATGTGTTTGAGATCTTGATGATCAATAATACTACTGCTCACTTAAAAAAAAAAGAGGCTTGCAGAAAACGCACCACATTTGCAAAAAAGCAAGAAAAGAGAATGATATTGGCAAGGATCCAATAAACGAATATCAAGATGGCGGATTCAATATGATCTCGCCCACATACACATTCGCGATCTCACATCCTTTTCACTGAATCAGTTGCAGTTGATGATGATGATGATTCTTCACACTCACGCTCTGCCAGTGGACATCCTCCTGAAGCCTTTGAAAGCTCCATTGATGAATGCCCCGCAACACCCTCTTGATTCAAAGCTGGTTTGAATACAGCTTCTGACATGGTCAGGCCGGCCCCTCAATCTACTCGACAGCTTGATGAAGCTGGTTCTCATGAATTCAACAGTTCAGGCGAGGCAATATCAGATCAACAGATGAAACATCTCAAGATAATACTTGAGATGAACAAGAGGAAGCAAAGAGTCTTAGAACTTGAACTACAACTGGAAAAACTCTGTCAACAGAGATTCTCTACAGATCAATCTCAGAATGTCAATAATTATTCTGTCATTATATCAACAGTCACTTGGAATTCTAATCTCAGTGAAAGGTTGAAATTCAATCTTTATAAACTGAATAGCTGTGTTGGCAAGGCAATCTCTCAATTCAAGAAAGATATCAAGAATACTGTGAGATCAAACAGTCTAACTGATACATTCAATTACATCACATGAAGCATCTTCATAAAATTGAAACTGATTAATGCACAGTGCTGATATATAATAGAGAAATGATAGATTCAGAATTCTCTACAAAGAGATGATGAATAAGTATTATTCTGAGATGTCAGAAATCAGTGACTCTATACATTCATCTTGAACTTCTTGAATGCAGATGTCAGATTATATTTCTTCAAATATGATAAAAATCAGATCACTTATACTCTATGAAATGCAATTGAACAGAAATACTCTGTTCTTAAAACACAGTTACACTGTGAGACAGTTCTGAAATTTATGTCTCTTAATGATACACAGATTATTAATCTACACACATTCTTTGATAAGTTCTGATTTATTATTATGAAATTAAAGATGTTGAATACTTCTCTCTCAGATGTATGAATATTTGATATCTTCTACTCAGTTCTACTCAACAATTGAAGAAATTATGTTCAGAAGAAGATAGAGAAGATACAGGATTTCAAATTCACAGCTGTGATATTGAATGTTGATCTTCTTATGAAGAAGATCTGTTTATAGCTTAATTCTTCAAAAGATAAAAAGAATCTGCAGAATATAGATTCTGTAGTTAACACAGCTATAACAGCTACAACAGATACAATGATTACTACATCTATTAATTTGAATAATAATACATTAAATTCAGCCTGTGAAGACTGTACTGAACATGATTATAACAGTATATAAGAGAGCTTCTGAAATCATTAAGAATTGAGAAATTCATCTACATGTTCTGATTGTAAGAGATCTCACTTTGACATCTGTTGATTAGTCAATTCAGACAGTGCTTCAGATAATTGAAGAATAAACAATACTATAAGAATAAAGAAATTCAAGAAAAAGAAGAAAAAGAACAATAGTGAGAATAGAACTTAACTATCTATTACAGATGAATCAGACATCTATCAGATGATAAATCTCATAGAGATTATTAATGTATCAGCCTGTTTTGTGAAATCTTACAAGAATTTTCTCACTATATAAGATAGTGATGCTGGATGCCACATAGTGAGTGATAGATTACAATTTTCAGAACTTATAGTAATCAATGATTCAACAGTTCAAGTGATCAATAAGACTATTATAAAGATTCAGAGTGTCAGTACTATATTCATCTCAGTGAGTGAAAGATTGATAGAATTCAATCATGTATACTATATGTCAGAGTTATTCACAAATCTGATCTCTGCTGAACTGATGAAACATCAGAGCTATATTCATTATAATATGCAAGTTAATGCTGAGAACTACTTTAAGTTTCTGTCATCTATCAACAGTGATATCTTCTATATCAATCTGTCTTATAATAATATTTACATTCTATTCAACAGCTCATCAACATTTCATGAAATAATGAACAACTCAATGTATGAAGCAGTGACATATATGATCATTTTAAAATCAAAGACAATCTCAACAGATTACAATCTGAGTGCTGAGTCTTTGAGGTCTTTCAACTATGAGAAGATTGAACAGTTAATCAACTCTAAGAATTCAGATACTGATTTCTTTATTATCTCATCTTCATCTTGATTATCTGCAGTTCTTTCAAAACAGCTTCTGATAGATGAGTGTCACGCTCCCGGCCGCGCCAAGGCCCCGCTGCGGTTCCACACGGCCCATCGCTTCCATGCGGATGATTCCATCCATCCCGCAGGCCGTCCGAACCGGTTTCCAACCGCCCTATGACATCATTCGGATATATCATAGGAAGATCCGATTGATGGATATGAGAACCCCGCTTCTATACGAGGTCAGCAGATTACTCTTCCTTGGCAATGAGGCGCCGCTGAGGTATCGCTCCGGCTATCCTCGCCCGTGGAATGGGAGGAGGGTATCCGCCCATTGTCTATATAGAATAGCTAGATGCTGGCTCCCCATCAAAGGAGCCAGCGATTCGTTTCTTTCCTCCTACGGGAATAATATACACAAGAGTTACTGCGTGCCTCATACAATCTTCTTAGTATACTAAGTACCATATCTGTGATATCCTCGCAATAACCCTGTAGCCTACGAGCTCGCTATTCAAGCAAGATAGTCAAGCCCACTCATACGGCTTCCCAAACAACTACCCCTACGTGTCACCGCCGACTAGCCACCACTTCGGTTCCGCCACGTTACAATTCGAATCGCTCGACCTGATTACATGTTTGGATCAGTTGAGCTCTAACAGACCGATATGGCCCCACGCACCCGCGCTGGGACCGACCCGACCCCACCCTCTGGGGGAAACACTACACCATCCCCTAGAGTGCGTACACCTCTACCCCGGCAGGAATCCGAGATTCCTGAACCCGCTGCGCATTTTGGCATGGGCCCTCCAACCGCCCTGCCACCGCCGCGGCCCCTACACACCTACATCTATCATGGAGATAGAGAGATTAAGGTCGGAGATCCACCGAGATACAAGGGAAACACCTTGTCTGAATTCCACAGCTTTACCCGTACCCTTGAACGGAAATTCCGCCTTAACCCGAGCCAGTATAATACCCACGAGGTACGAGTAATATACGCCGCCAACCTCCTTGAAGGCACCTCTGCGACTACTTGGGCCACCAAGGAGAGGGAGCTTGAGCGTACCAATGCTGCCATGACTTGGGAAGAATTCAAGGACTTCCTACTGGACCAAATCGAAGACCACTGCAACCGCGGCTTCACGGCGGCGCAGCGGTTCAACTCATTACGTCAACGAGATGATGAAAATCCTTCCGATTTCAACGCAAGATTCGAAGAATATTGGGAGGAATTGACCGATGATTTGGATCAATTAAAAACACAGCTTTACCTCGCGAAGCTGACTCACAAAGTGCGGACAACAATATCACAGTATCAGAGTCCACCAACCAATCGCACTGAGCTTGTCAACCTGGCTTCCCAGATCTATTTGAATAATCAATCCTCTGAGAAAAAGGCCAACAAGACCCCTTCTAAGCAACCAACGACAGGATCTAAACGGCGCCATGACGGCTCCAGTGCGGAGGAAGCAAAGAAGAATTCCAAGCATTCTGATTCTTCACTCACTGCGAAGGAACGCCAAAAAAGATTTGACAAAGATCTCTGTTTCAACTGCGGAGCTGGTGGTCACTATGCCAGTGATTGCAAGAAGCTGAAGAAGGGAAGGAACTGAGGAGACACCTCCTCAAAGTCGACTCCTCTTCTGGCAAACATATCCGCGGAAGATAAAGAAGAGAAAGAAAAGGATTGACAATCCTCACGTCTCCGAGTCCATGTTACGATCACAATGCATACCCCGAATGGGGAGGTACCAGTGAGGTGCCTACTCGACTCCGGGGCGGATGCCAACTTCATATCCTATTCCTTTTCTTTGATGAAGGGTTGGAAGAAGATAGGTCCGCCAGGCCATGCGAAATTTACAGATGGAACGAAATGCCACCGTTTTGGCATAATCCAAGCAAAGTGTGTGGCCACAGACTCAGAAGGAACCTCCAAGGAGAGCAGTCTGCTCCTCCACACAGTCAACATCATAGATGAGGACGTCATCCTAGGTCTCCCGTGGTTGAGAGAAAACAATCCTCTCATTGACTGGGTCACCCAGGCGTGGCGGTACCGCCTCACTGATGAAGAGGCAGCGATAGAGAAACCTGAAGAGTTCCATTGGAAGAATCTTGAGGAAAAGATTGAGTCGATATACTGCATAGCAGGTGATTGGGACTTGGGGACAGGTGAAGAAGCCACCACCCTCACTGCAAGATTAGCAGCAGTATCTGTCATTGAAGGCGGACGTACACGACGTCTCTTTACAGATTTTAAGGATGTCTTTTCAGAAAGGGAAGCAGCGAAGTTTCCTGACACCAAGGTGCGACATAAGATTCGCCTTGAAGACGGTGCAACAGCGCCGTACAGGCCCCTTTACAACTTGTCTGTAAAGGAGTTGGATGTTCTGCACAAATATCTTGAAGAAGCGCAATCAAAGAACTGGATACGTCCATCAAAGAGTCCGGCAGGGGCGCCTATACTCTTTGTGCCCAAGAAGGATGGTAGGCTACGCCTATGCGTAGACTACAGAGGCCTCAATAAGGTGACAGTTAAGGATCACTATCCATTACTGTTAATCGATGAGATGATCGATCGATTATCTGGAGCAAAGGTGTTCTTGAAGATTGATATACGGGATGCCTATCATAGGATCAGAGTTAACAAAGACGATGTTTGGAAAACGGCTTTTCGTACCAAGTACGGCAATTTTGAATATCTTGTTTTGCCTTTTGGTCTTTGTAACACTCCAGCCACCTTCCAGGCCTATATAAATGAGGCGCTGCGGGGCCTTGTCGACGTCTCCTGCATAGTATACCTGGACGACATTTTAATCTTCTCGAAATCAGAGGAAGAACATGATACCCATGTTCAAGAAGTGTTGAGTCGCTTGAGACAGCATCAACTCTATGCAAACACTGAAAAATGCTTGTTCTACATGCAGGAGATTGATTTCTTAGGTTATGTTGTTGGGGTGAATGGCATTTCAATGGACAGGAGCTGGGTCTCCGCCATTGAGGACTGGCCAGCGCCGCGGATGTATCGCGAGGTGCAGGTGTTCCTAGGATTTGCGAATTTCTACAGACGATTCATCTATGCATATTCACAGATTACTGCCCCCCTTACGGATCTGTTGAAGGGAAGTGTGAAAGGCAGGAAAACAGGACCATTTACCCTCACTCAAGGCGCCGCGCAGGTGTTTGCGGAATTGAAACAAGCTTTCACAGATGCCACGATGCTGAATCATTTTAACCCCGACTTACCCAGTCAGTGTGAGACTGATGCATCCAGGAATGGGGTCTGTGGAATCTTTTCACAGTTGACACCGGAGGCCTTCCAACATTGGAAGGATCAGGGGATAATCACCCCTGGGGAAACAGGCAATGGATTGCCTGTGGGAGAAGGCTTTTTCACGGAGCCTACAAGGCGCCGCGAATGGAGACCAGTGGCCTTCTTCTCCAAGAAGTTATCACTCACGCAGAGAAGGTATGATACCCATGATCAGGAGATGTTAGCAATTGTTGAATCCTTTAAGATCTGGCGACATTATCTCCAGGGTAGTAAGTACTCAGTGCAAGTCCTCACTGATCATGCAAATCTGTGTTACTTCTTGACAACAAAGAGCTTGACAGGATGTCAAGCCAGGTGGGTGGAGCTGCTTTCGGAGTATGATTTCTATATCCGATACCGTCCAGGTCAGCTTAACCCCGCCGACGCGCCGTCTAGACGGCCCGATTATAATATCGTTGATGCGGAGGAGGATCCTACAAAAGGACCTCTGCCATCACTGCAGAAGAAGCTGGCTGCAGGGGGTTGGGGTTCTCTAAAGCTCGGGAACAGCGCCGGAGAGGCAGCTGCGCGACCCAGTATAGGAGGTGGAAGAGAACCCGGGTCCCCGCAGGGGACTGACACTGAAGATCATGAGCTTCTCGTGTCACGTCTTGCAACCATTGAATTGGCAAAGGATGAAACGGTCTACAACCTTCCAACCTGACTACTTTTGAAATTCATTGGTGAGTTACAGAAGGGGGACGCCTCTACTGCAGCTCGAATTCAAAAGTTGAAGGAGGAAGGATTCAGTTTGAACTTGAAAGAGGCAGGCCCTGGGCGGGGCGGTGCCGCTAAGGAACCAAGTCGCTGGCAACTAGGAGAATGTGAACTCCTACTGCTGAATGGTTCAGTCTTCGTCCCTTGTAGCAGGGCGGTGCGCCAGGAGTTATTGAGGATTCATCATGATGATCCCCATGCGGGGCACTTTGGGTTAGAGAAGACTGAGGAGCTTCTAAAATGTAAATACACTTGGGACAAGCTCCGGGCAGATGTCAAAGAGTATGTTGAAACTTGCGATGTCTGTCAAAGGATAAAGGTCCCGCGGCACAAGCAATACGGCGAGTTGGCGCCACTGCCTGTTCCAAAGGGCCCATGGCAGGATCTATTGATGGATTTCATAGTTGACCTGCCGAAGTCGACAAGAGTCAAAGGATATGACTCAATTTTGGTCATTGTTGACCGCTTCACGAAGATGGCCAGATATATCCCTACCCACAAAAAGGTTAAAGCCCCTGAATTGGCTGACCTGTTTTTAGATACCATCATTCGTGATCACGGTGCTCCGAAATCGTTGGTAACAGATTGAGGATCCCTCTTCACCAGCAAATACTGGTCGGCTTTTTGCTATCACCTTATGATAAGGCGCCTCCTCAGTACCGCATTCCACCCGCAGACCGATGGCCAGACTGAATGCCAGAATCAGACACTAGAACAGCATCTTCGAGCGTTCTGTTCATATCATCAGAATGATTGGCCCAAACACCTTCTGACCGCCGAATTCGCATATAACAATGCAAAGAATGCAACCTTAAAGGTATCTCCTTTCTATGCTTGTTATGGATATAATCCTTTGTTACCCAGTGACGTCGCGGACGACGTTCCAAAGGGGGGGATAGGCAGTCAGAATGTCGGACAGGTACAGAGGATGGAGTATCCCTCAGTGCCAGAAGTAAAAGCGAGATTGGAACTTTTGAACAAAATCCATGAGAAGGCGGCGAAAAGCATCTGCCGCGCCCAGGAGCAGCAGGTGGAATACTATAATTGAAAACATCTTCTGATGAAGTTCTTGATAGGGGATCAAGTGCTACTTTCAGCAAAGAACATCAAGACAACAAGACTGTGTAAGAAGCTCAGTGAGCGGTGGCTAGGACCTTTCCCAGTAACAAGAGTGATGGATAAGCAGGCATATGAGTTGAAATTACCCACAGGATTGAAATCAATTCATCCTGTTTTTCACATTTCCTATTTGGAGCCCTATAAGCAACGCCCCGGGGCGGAGCCGCCTCGGCCGGATGGCATCGAGATCGAGGGTGATACCGAATATCTTGTGGAGAAAATATTGGACAAGCGAACACATTACAGCAAGCTCCAATACCTCATTAAATGGGAAGGTTATCCATCGTCAGAGAATTCATGGGAACCGCTTGAGCATTTGGAAAATGCTGAGGAAGAGATTGCAACCTATGAGGCGGCTAGTAGAGACCGCCCCGTTACACGCCAGAGACGTTGGGCAAGAAACGCCGCTTGAGACTTCTCATTTTTCCCAAAGGGTTTTTTAGAGATGATCTCGCGGTGGTGAGCCGGCGCCTTGTAGGCTCTGTAGCACTCTTCTCCTATTTTCTCCCAAAGGGTTTTTAGGAGTTTAATGAGACTACACAAGTGTAACGTTCCTGAAGCGGTTAAAAGGAAAGGGATATTTGAAACCAACAAAAAGATTAATATTATCGACCCGCGGGCCGCTGCTATCCTAATGGGGCCGCAGCCCGCCGAAAAAGTAAAAAGGGGGACCAGGGCCTACTCGCCAACAACCACACCCCCACCAAACTCATCCTCCACTGTTGGAGTCTCCGGCACTGGCACCTTTGCCTGCCGAGAAGTTAGCGCTGCGGCGCCGCAGGGGAGCATGCTACAGAAGAGCATGAGAGATGCTGGAAGTGTCAACTTACCAACTTGCAAAGCACCTCGGTCATCTGCTCCAACTGGAGCGAGATCCTCTCCAACCAGCGATTGGTCTCCGCGGCGCTTCCAACGGCGGCGCCGGCTGACCCCTTCTTGGGGCCAGCCATCCTGAGATGTTTTTCCACCTCGGAGACCCACGCTTTCGCCTCCTTTTGCAGACGAACAAGGGGGACCTCCCCAGCCTTGACGGAATCCGCCAACGCTTGGAGCTCCGAGACCCTTGCTCTGTACTGCTTGGGCACCTGGGCTCCTTGTCAGAGCCGACACGACGCCTTCTTGTAAGGTAGGTAATACTTACAGGGAGACAGGAGTCGTTGTTGCGGGCGCAACGGAAACAACGGGAGTGGGAGGAGGGGCGGGTGCACAAAATCCCCCCCTCCTTCAGCTGCTTGGCGCAGCGCAGGCAAGTAGCGGTGCCGGCCAGAGGCCGCACCGGAGCCTCCCCACAGGGAGAAGATGAAGGAACCGCGGGACCCTGCGGACCCAACCCAGCAGCATCCCGAGCAGGGCTCGGGCGTGCCGCGGGAGGGGAACTACGGATTGGGCTCCTCGGAGCCACTGTCCCCGGAACCAAGCTCTCCCCGGGTTCCTCTCCGAATGACCACACGGGGTCATACGCCACTGTATTGGCTGGGGGGGGGGGCGGCGTCCCAACGGCGGCGGGGGGGGCGGGGGACGGACCGGACGCAGACGCACCGGCCGGCAGAAGGGACGACACCCCACTGCAGGGCACGGCAACTTCCGCCGCGGCCGCAAGAGAAGCAGGAGGAGGTGTGGCGATGGGAGCGGTGCTCCCGCGGCTCATTGACGCCGCCGCCTCCAACCTGGCTTTCTTGGCGGCCACGGAGGCCGCCGCCGCACCACGAAGACGTTTGTTACCCACTAGAAAACGTCAGAATAAGCCCTCTACTGTCCTCCAAGGACGATACTCCCATGCACTCACTATTGCAGATGGGGGGGGGGGGAGAAAAATGTGTCACGGGGGGGGGGATCTTTCGAAAAAATCCTGCCACTACTGTTAGCTTTGCCCCTAAAACACACCACTTTTGCAGGGAATTCCATACGTAGGACGGAATATGTTGGGAGATCTGCAAGCCACTTGTTAATTACATTTTCCACCTTCCAAATCGATATATAAGGAACCCACTTACAACGCGTTTGGTTTGGACGAAGGTGGGAAAAGGAAGACCTACGCAGTTAGCAGAAAAACTCACCTATTCCTTTGTGCCACGCGCAGCACACGCGCTGTCAATCGGTTGGCAACCGTTGCTATACAACAAAGATAATTCCTAATCCGGTAATCTTGAGGGCATAGGGACTATGCCCTTAAAGGGGAGGGCATTGTCACGCTCCCGGCCGCGCCAAGGCCCCGCTGCGGTTCCACACGGCCCATCGCTTCCATGCGGATGATTCCATCCATCCCGCAGGCCGTCCGAACCGGTTTCCAACCGCCCTATGACATCATTCGGATATATCATAGGAAGATCCGATTGATGGATATGAGAACCCCGCTTCTATACGAGGTCAGCAGATTACTCTTCCTTGGCAATGAGGCGCCGCTGAGGTATCGCTCCGGCTATCCTCGCCCGTGGAATGGGAGGAGGGTATCCGCCCATTGTCTATATAGAATAGCTAGATGCTGGCTCCCCATCAAAGGAGCCAGCGATTCGTTTCTTTCCTCCTACGGGAATAATATACACAAGAGTTACTGCGTGCCTCATACAATCTTCTTAGTATACTAAGTACCATATCTGTGATATCCTCGCAATAACCCTGTAGCCTACGAGCTCGCTATTCAAGCAAGATAGTCAAGCCCACCCATACGGCTTCCCAAACAACTACCCCTACGTGTCGCCGCCGACTAGCCACCGCTTCGGTTCCGCCACGTTACAATGAGTGACATTGTCAACTTAATCATATCAGTGAAAATAGTATATTAAAAATGACCAGAAACCTGTGATTTGATATTACTATTATCAGTCTGAAGAAATTATTGTTCTGTATCACATGTGTTAAGTCTAAACAGAAATGCACTTTCTACAAGAATTTCACATCACATCATATCATCTGCAAGGCCTTGAAGATTTGAGTGAATATCTTCAGTGATGATAAGACTCTTAGAATCAAAAATAATATATTATCTTACACTGGTAAGAAGCTTGCAATGGTGATAACAGATGATGTCACTTATATAAGATGAATATTTCTATTGAAATGCAAGGATGAGATGTTGAGATATCTACAGATCTTCAATCAATTTATCAAGAATCTGCTGAGACATGGTATTACAATCATTCACTCAGATTATGAAGAATTGAATTCAAATGCAGCCACAGCATATATACTCAGTGAAGATATAAAATAAGAGCTGACTTTCTCTTATACTTCACAGCAAGATGAAGTATCTGAACAATCAATCAGTTTAATCATTGAGAAGTTTCAATCACTATTAATAGACTCTTCAGCTCTGAAAAAGATGTGAAATAAGACAGTTATTGCAGTCACAGAGCTGTTTAATCTTATGTTAATCTCAACAATATTGTATGAAGACTCTGAAAATACAAAGTCAATTACACTGTATGAGATCTGGCTTAAAGCTCTATCTTCTACATGTGGTATTCACTGATGAAGTTGCAAAGCATTCTTGAAGATAGTCTTCAAGCTCATTAATAAGATGACTTCCTGTTTCAAAGAGTTGATTTTTGTGAGATATGATGATTTTATTAATTATAGATTGATGAACCTCTTCAACAGGCATTTATACATATCAAAAGATGTCATCTTTCAGGAGAATCTTCATCTTGCTGATTCATTGATACTGACTACAATGCACAACCTGAAGGTTCTACTCAATACAGTCTGTAAAGCGGCTGCAGCGATTTCTTCAGCAACATCAGATCTACTCACTGCAGCCTGTCAAGAGATTGTGATGATTTCTGATTCATCAATAGATGATCTGTTCATTGATGAGGAAATCTGACCTGAGTGTTCATTATTTCTTATACTCACTAATAATTGATGGATTGACTATGATATCTCTGTGAGAATATCTACCTTTTTAGTACAGAATACACTGAACTTCTCAGAACTCACAGTTGAATCAGATGATTCTTCAACATCTATAAGAGATATCACTATAGTGAGAGAAGCTTCAGTGAGAAACAGTCTTGAAAATCTACTCATCAATCTCAAGATCACTGCACTTCTGATCCTGAAAAATCTCACATGTATCAAAGCTTTCATGAAATGAAAGTATTATTACAAGATCTGTGTTAAAGAGATCAACTGTTTGAAACAGATAGAAGTCTGATAACTGATTAAGAGAATATCATAAATGAGTGTTCTTCACAGTTAATGAGTATTTAATAAAAAGTTTAATAATATGAGTGATGTTATTCACTATAAGACTCACTGAGTTATCTGTGAAAATCTTCAACAGAAGAGAATCAATTACTCAAGAATCTTTGCACTTATTGTCTCTGCATTCATCTCACAAGCTCTCATGATAATCTCAGTATTTCAGAGATGATATGTTCTGTAGATTGATATGATGACTGCATTTTTGAATACTCAACTGTCTGCTGATGAACAGATATATATGAATCAATTCACAGAATTTCACAAAGACTGTGATAATCTTATGTGTGAGTTGATACAGAGACTCTACAGTCTTAAGCAGACAGCACTCTTATGATATAAGAAGCTGTGAAAGATGCTATTATACTCAGACTTCTGTGTCAGTCTCTATGATGCTGAACTATTTATTTATAATAGAAGACAGATCTATATAATCATCTACATAAATAATATTCATCTCTACAGCTCAAAAATTGAAGATCTGAACTGAGTCAAAGCTGAAATCACTGCTAATTATGAGATCAAGAATGTAGAGGATTTCAACTACTATCTAGAAATGAAGATTAATAGAGATTTAACTTCATTAATATTGTCTCAATCTCTCTTTGTAAGAAATCTTCTTGAGAAGTTCTTAATGAATGACTGTTATTCTATATTCACTTCTATGAAGAAGAATATTGATTTCATGAATAATGATAAGAAACTGATTGTATATATAGCAGAATTTATTCTACAGTTCTATCAATCTGATATCAGATCTCTGCAATATCTGGTATTTAATACATATTCTGATATGAGCTTCACTGCAGAATTTCTTGAACAATTCAGCTCTCAGCCTATATCAAAGAACTGAGCTGTATATAAGTGTACACTCTGATATCTACAGAGTTCAATCAATGAGAGTATAACCTATCACAGAGGTGTTGAAATTGAATCTGTAGTATACACAGATGCTGATTGAGCTGATAGAGATTCAGAATCTCATTCAATCACTGATTATATTATCTACATGACAGGTGATCTCATTGCATGGCAGAGCTGCTGGCAAACAGAGGTCTTCAAGTCATCAACAGAGGCTGAATATATTGCATTCTCTGAGGTCACATATGAGCTTGTCTGTCTCTGAGAGCTTCTAGAAGATGCTGAATTTATCTCATTCTGTCTCAACAATCTGAATGCTGATGATCATCTCATTCTCATCACAGTCAATGATCTGGCTTATATGATTCATGCTGATAATAAGTCTGTCATAGAGCTATTCTCTTCTGAAGCAATTTCACACCACTTGAAGTATATAGAGGTCTGTTTTCACATCCTTCAGAATCTTGTCTGTAAGAATGAGATATCTATCTGATATGTTTCATCTGCTGAGAACATGATGAATGAGCTTACTAAATCACTTGAAATGGTGAAATATACATGTTGGAAAGAGAATATAAAGAAGATAGAGAAATAGAGGAATAAAAAATGATGTATATCATGACTGATTTTTCATTACTTCACATTTTCCAGTCATTTTTTGTACCTGTACTTGATTTGAAGGTGAATTTTGTATATAGCATCGTGTATAGTTACTCTGGTGAGTGGGGGTGTCAGGTCACGTGATCTGGCTTACTAATCCTTCCACCATATAACTTTCCACAAGCTAGCAACCTTTCAATCACACAAGCTTTACACCTTCCACAGAATCATTGAGACCTACCGGAGTTAAAGGATACTGAGTATACTTGTGCTGCTCAGACAAAAAAAATCCAAGAGCGACGTTCCCGCGTTATTTTCAAGGAGTGTACAGTCTGTAAGTACCGTCTCGGGCTTGCTAGGACGATCTATAATGCTTACTGTGTAGGTTCTTTTACATATCAAGAAGAATTGTTGGTGGAGACAACAAAAATGGCTGAAAATGGCGTTTTTGGCGTATCATGGTCCGCCGTCTGTCAACCCTGTACTCCGTACGGAGTACGAGATTGATAAATAAGCATTATATCATACTATGGCCTAGCTCTGTCATGCAACGTCTTGCCTTGCCTGGAGCTATCAAGAGGGGCAGTCGAATACAGAGGCGAATAGAGAACTCGACCGACGAGGCGTTGAGAAAACAAAAGGCCAAAAGAAAAGGAGACAGCCGCCGAGCAATCAGGGTATCTATCCAAATAATTTCCCAGTAAAATACCCACCACCCGCGCCATTGTGACATAAAAACAAAAGTGCACACCCTTCCAAGCTGCCGCCATGTCGAAAGACGGGGCTTTGCATACGAAAGAAAAATACCCATTTCCTTTACAGGACACACACCCCACAAGGGATGAGCGAAATCCCGACGCCCGTCCCAGTCAAGATAAATAAACCGGTCGCGCCAAGCGCCTTCGATTCTTTCCAACACCCCCGCAATATATGATTTCAAATAGGCTTAACAAAAAGAATTCGCTAAAGGGGTAACATGAAAAACAAGGCCAACGCCGGAAAATATGATCGTCATAAGGGTCGTTAATATGTATCGTGAGTTCATGATGAGGCCTGACCGCTGTCACTTGCCTCATTCGCCTTATTTAACTCCCGCGACTCCTTGAGCTTGGCGATAGCTTTGTTTACTTCCTCTTTCGCAACAGCTTCCCATTTAGTTTTTGATTCTGTATCTAGTGCTATCGTGGTTCCAGCTTTATCGTATAACATCCGTGAGATCCGTCGGTTTATATCCGTATATTCATCTTTTGAAACGCCACGACTGCGGTAGTGTGGTTTCAGGGCCGCGCTGACCATTTTCTGTAGATCTGATTTTACGGATAGAGATAAGGAGGACCGTGTTGGGGACGATTCGTTAGACCGTGATCGCGACGGTGATGTCGATGAGCTATGTCCAGTTCGCCGCGTTCGGTCCATTTGGCGAGGTAGTCGAGGCTGTTCTGCTGTCCCAGGTTCGTCTTGGTTAGGAGAGCATGAAGGGGAAAATTCAGGAGAGGAAAAAGCAGGATCAAAGCACATGATGGGTGTAATCGGCCTGAGTTTGTTATTGTTATATGGAGGTGGTGTGGCGGATGATGGCCGGGGAGAGGAGCGATTAGAGAGGGATGACTGAACGGGCGATGATGGTCTTGGAGAGTTTGAATCTCCTGGTGTCGACGAGAAAACAGCTGATCTGAATGCGCCGTTCGTCAAACTCGGAGAAGAAGAGTCTTCGACCTCTTTGAGAAGGGATTGCAAAAAACTTGGGCCCGTACTAGCATTGCTATCAGCGGGAACCCTTCCAGAAGAAGTAGAACCATTAGCTAATCTTCCAGCTCTGGAAGACTCACCCCCGTGATCAAGAAAGTCAGCAGCAAGAGCTTCCGGCCGTCTCGTTCGGGGGCGTTTCAATTTCCGCTCGGGTTGTGGCGGCTGTGGTTCGACTGGCGAAGCAGTCGGGGACTTGCGTTTCCGACGGATCGAGCTGGGGTCATCCTGTATTTCCCTTGCTCTTTCAAACGCGTTCCAAGCCCTTACTTCGTCCAAAGACTCGGGCTCTGGAGTCTCCACTCTTTGTCTTGGTCTTGAGGGCCAGCCTCGTCCGATTTCGAGAAGCGCGGAGGCGGTATCTCTAAATCGGTTAGCCGCTCCCTGTCGCTCAGCAATCTGAAAACGACGTTCCCAGGCGCGGGATTCTCTCCGATAATTAGCGTTGCTTCTTAGTTGTTCTACCCTACGGCCGTGCGCTTGTTCGTCGTCGAAAGGGAAGTCTAGATCTAGGTTGAGGTGGTCCCAGACGGTTTGCCAAACACGGGCCCAATGAAATGCATTCATCTGATTCCGGCTGCGCGTTCTTCTCTGATCGCTGCGGGTGCGGCGCCCAGACCGATTTCGTGGGCGTTGGCCAACAGCTGAGATAGGTCGCTGTATTTCGCATTGGGAACAGTGCCACGGGCCAGAGGGGACAGAATCCAGTCCGACACAGTAGGTGTGGATGGCAACATCGCAACCATCACAGAGGAGAAGGACCTCTTCGTTATCATCGTATCCACAAATTGGACATGGTTGCGAATCAGATTCATCGCCTAGATCATCCATTATCATTGAAGGGTCGATCTCCGCAACCTGGACACGGTCCTGGACACAATATGAGGAAACAACGGGGCCTATTTAAAATGACAGAACAAAAAAACAAAAGGGTTAGCAATCTAAGTCCCATCTAATGAGCAAGCAAAAAGCGCCCAGTTTCGCCTATACAGCAATGTGAAAATCCCTTTAGGAAATCAGTCACATACCTCCAACCGTATCCGTAAGCTCCACCATATTGAAGTTCTGCCGGCAAATGGGACAGCTATTTGCCCTTTCTACCCAGGGTTTCAGGCAGTCGTCATGAAGATTATGGCCACATGGAAGAAGATGGGCAATTTTCCCCGAATCAGTACCGGAGTCTACCTGCGGGGATTTCACCACCACTTCCAGCAAATGAGCTCCTTCATCATCGACCGGCCTTGGCGAGAGGACGTCGTCAATAGAAGGAAGGCGAGGGGGCTCGCTGGCGCCATCGCCAAGGTCTCCTAGACACACTATGCAAGTGTCTGGCATTATCGAGGGGATGGAAGAGTGAATGAATGGATAGGATGTTCTGCGGCGGCATGAAGAGCTGAATTTCAGTTTCTTGAAGGACTGGAGATGGGATGAAGTAGGTAAAGAAGTGGAAGCTGTGGGGAACGAGGGCCGCCTTTTGAACCTGGGCTAAGGAATGACACTAGTCCTAATACGGCCCTAGTACGACAACGTGATATGTGCCACGAACGTAGATTGCCGCGACCTTCTGTAACTAGGAGCACAGCTGAAAGAGATGGATTTATGCATTTGTTACATGTACCTACCTAGGCCACTATCGGACTATTTAAGCTGTGCTATGTAGTAGTATGACAACACCTGAAAGTCATCAAGTCAAAATAATCCCACGTATGCATTATTACTCGTGGATAAATTAGTCATGTCATTGGATCCTTCAACAAACAGGTGTTCAAGCAGGGAACACACCTGGAGACTCTATTTCAGCACCAGCCAAATACCGCAATTTCAGAGCAATTCCTTTGTTGGGGTTGGCTGCGGATAGATGTCCTCACCGCCCACCTCAAAGAATTGCCCTATTTTAGTATCATTGACCTTTTTATCACGCCAGTGATGGAGAACTGTGACGAATGGCATGCTTGATTTCTGCAGGTGGGGTGGTGCGGGGGTAAATATCGCAAGCCGGAGAGTGACCTCAAGCCTTCTATCGGAAGGCCCTTCATACGACCTTCCCTGCTAAGTTGAGAATCATAATTGGCGTTGATTTTTCATTTGCGACTCCCGAGGTTCTGATTCAGGTAGTGGATTTGGGTGTCGAGGACGATTTTCCTGTCATTTTGCTCCCACGGATTGTGAAAGTTACTGAATGGGTGCGTGAGGGGGCTAACCAAAATAGCGCTTTTAGTAGCCAGTATTTCTCGACAAACTGGCCACTTCCGCTCCTGACTCCGTTAGTTAGCGGCGGTGCAACATAATTAGTTTGGCTAGAGTTTGGTGAGCCTCGAAAAGGTAGAGCAGCACTTCTTATTGGTTGTGCTAGATGCGTAGTTTCTAAAGTAGTTAGTAGCAAGCCTAGGCAATACTCTCCTCGATCATTGATAACGTTCATTGATAATTGAGCATGAACAAGCGTCTGAACCATTCTCGCCAGCTGCATGGGCCATGGGAAAGAGAAATTGACCAACGACGAATTATGGCCTGGTCGTGGAAAGAAATGGTATTTTCGATTTGTCTTTTCTCTCTCTCTACTTGGTTGGAAGAAGGTTTCGATCGCAGTAGTTGGGGAGGAACTATCGAATCGAGGATCCCACGGCACGGAGTGTCTATTTATCCCCAGACATTGTCCTCTTGTTTCTCATCATGTACGGGCAGCTAAAACAAATGGAAAGGATAAAAGAGGTGAAACTCCAATTGAGATTTCTTTTTCATTTGCTCAATTGCATCCTCCCAAATTTCCGTTCATTTCATTCGAGAAAAAAAAAAGTAGAAACATTAAAAGACGCAGAAAGAAAAAATAAAAAGACAGCTCAAAACTCCCATCCTTAAATCATCTTTAAACCTCCGCAATTTCTCGGAGACGACGGATGGTCGATCGGGTGGTGGCTGCGGCAGGAGTCCTAATATCACAAGCATCAAAGTAAAAAGCGCGTTTTGTCAGCCCAGTTTCTATTCGATAAAATTGCTGGAGTAAGAGGAAGGAGGTGGAGAGCTTTATCAGCGCAACCGAGGAGGTGTAAACGTACGAGACAGTCCAAGCACCGCCAGCAACGACCTTTGAGCACGATCGGCACTCCCAGATGCCAACAGCCTTGCGCTTTACACTGTTCTTGCCGCAGAAAGTGCAGACGTATCGGGCGTGCTGGGAGACTTCCATCTTCTTCACTTGCTTTCGGAGCGAGGCACCGTATCTGTCGTTCAACGAAAAAAGATTATTGCGTCAGTTCAGCGCTTCTCCTGTCTTGCTTTCTCCTTCATTCTGTTTTCATCTCTTCTCTTTCTCCCATGCAACTTGTCCCTTATCTGCCGCCCTGCCCTTTCTTTTATATAGATATACATCGCTTTCCACCCTAGTTTTTCATGAAACCAATTCCGTCGTAGGGAAAATCTGAGAGAACGTAGCATTCGACTGTGGGATTCAATCGTACCTGGTACCATATTTACCGGTGACACCGACCTCTGTAGAAAGATCGAATTAGCGTGGTTTTCTCAAAATCGACCAAAAAGAACAGTGAAAAGTGAAAAGTGTCAATTATAGGACATACTCTTGGTGCGCTTCGTCATCTTGTCACGCTGGATGTGTAGATGCGGGCAAGGAGAGGTGGAAGTGTGAAGCTGCAAAAATCGGACTGTTGCGTGTTGGCCGTCGTTGAAGATTGTGGGCTCGCTTAGGTCAAAATTCGAGACTTGGCGCGGTGGTTTGAGCGGACGCAACATCACGTGAATTGCCATCACGTGAGCTTTATAGTTTGACCAAGTGCGGATTTTTTGACTTTGAGATTATTTTCATCCCGACCCATTAACTAGATCTGTCATTATTTAATTCCACAACAATTTGTAGCTCAAATTTGCGCACCTGGGATGCAAATGGATGATATTTGCTGGATTATCCATACACAAGTTAACTATCTCATTCTTGCAACAGTCCCCCGAACGGAATTTTTGCTCCCCCAACGGAACACTAGTTAATTTTACGCTGAAAGAAACCGGGATATTTCATGTTCTAGAAAAGAAATCGATCAAATTTGCATCATATCAAAATATTCCTTGGATCCTTCACTCTTTATGACATTGGGAAAATCAGAATCAGGGTTCCAACCTAAACCTGAATTATTCCAATTTCGTCTTGATGAAAATATATGGCACGTACACCAATGAGCTCAACTCTATGGTCATGGATGCCCCATCACCGGCCATGGTAAGTATGTAAGTATAATAGCCATTAGTGTACCTATCACAATAAATAAGAACAGGAATTACATACTATGATTTTCCTTTCACCTTCATGATAAAACCACAAACCAGGTTATTCCAAGACCTTCCCAGTAACTAATGGGTTCCAAAATTGTGATATGATGATATCATCGTGAGCCATTGTTGAGGCACCTCAGACGGAGAACTGACTGATTTTGTATGCGATATATTCCTTCGGTTCTAACTAATTAGTGGTCGTCTTTTTAACAACTCGACCCATACAACCTGAAGGATCTTTTGATGTAATAAGGCACGCGCCAATAAATAGTATCAGAGCTCATAACTGCATGAAATAATGGCATCAAACCGGCATTTCGACATTGTTCTTCTCGGCGCGACGGGATACACAGGGAAGCTATGCGCCGAACATATTGTTCAGAATCTTCCCACGAACCTGAAGTGGGCAATTGCTGGACGGTCTACAGGAAAACTCAGCGCCCTCGCGGAGGAACTGCTCAAAATTAACCCCGAGCGCAAAGGACCGGGTATGTTTACTCAATGGACCTTTTCTTTTTCAGTTCCTTGTTCTGTTAAGAGTATGGTTTTGTTCTGAGGATTGCTGATATTCATTCCCTGAGATGTTGACAGAGATCGTGACTGTGCAACTACAGGCTGCAGAGTTAAATCAACTTGCTAAACGGACTCGAGTCCTTCTTAACTGTGTCGGGCCGTATCATCTGTACTCGACGCCCGTCGTGGAAGCTTGTGCGAACAATGGCACTCATTATCTTGATGTGTAAGTAACGCTCAGACTCCCACTTATCCCGTCCAAAGGTATGTACATACATTGCACATGTATTTACTGGATACTTGATCCACAGGACTGGCGAGATGCCCTGGGTTAAGGAGATGATCGAGAAATATCATGAAAAAGCCAAGGAGACGGGGGCAATAGTGAGTGATAAGCTGACTTTCATAAATCCTGGGATAGCTAGGACCTTTATACTTACCACTACTCACTTAGATAATATCAGCAGACGGACTTGAATGCGCTCCCACAGATCTATTGACTTGGGCGCTCGTCAAACATATCAAGGATAAATTCTCTGTCCACACTAAGGAAGTCATTAGTTCTATATACGAACTGAAGTAAGTAAATGTCCTCCGAAGATTATCCAAGCTTCAGCCTTCTAACGCTCTGGTCCATGTAGAACCGCGGGAGCGAGTGGTGGAACCCTCTCAACCGTCATAGGCATGATGGGTAGTGTGCCTCTGAAGGAACTATTCAAGGCACAGAACCCATATTACCTCTCCGCCAGCCGACCTAAAACACCCTATTCTCCGCCCCTTCTCCAGAAACTTCTCGGCGTCCGCATAGTGCCTGATCTAGGTACGATGACCAGCTATGTCACAGATCATTGCGACATCGCCATCGTTCATCGCAGCAGCTCCCTAATGCCAGACCTATACGGGCCGGACTTCCGCTTCGAAGCTTTCGCGGCCGTTCGCAATGTCCTAGTCGGAGTCGTCCTGCACCTTTCCGTCATGTTTGGAATGCTGGCCCTGACATTGCCGCCCGTGCGCTGGCTGGTGAGTAAACTCATCTATGCACCGGGCGAAGGGCCGGCTAAGAAGAACACTACGGGTAACCGGATTGAGTATCGAGCCCTGGCAACTGCCCAACATAAATCTCCTGAAGGGAAACCCATCAAAGTGCTTGGGACGTACAAGACTAATGGGGATGCGTATTGGATGACGGGAGTGCTGCTTGCAGAGTCGGCTATGGTTCTGTTGAAGAGTAAGCGGATTTCACAGGAGGTTAAAGGTGGGTATTTGACGCCTGCGATATTGGGGCAGGAGTACATTGATCGGTTGCAGAAGATTGGGATTACGATTGAGACGAATGTATTGGAGGGTTGAGGAGAGGACATTTGTATGTCGTTCCTTTTTTTCTCTTTTCGAGGAATCTTCACAGCTCGACTCATGCCCAGCTAGTATTGATAACATAATTCGGAGTGCTTTAGGAAGTGGCATCTTCCGGACTTCTACTGCTTGTTATCTTTCCTTATATATGCATATACATATATGCATATTGATAAATACAACATCTGAGGATCATAGTAAATTATATGATAATTACATCAGGTTGTGGGGACAGTTTTATTGTTCTTCGTTTTCTTTAGCACCCGGGCTGTTCCACAAATTATCCCTGCTTGTTGACTTCAGAGCTGAAGTTCAACTGAAGGCTCTGGGATAGGACGGAGTTTCCCAGCTGAAGGCAGCCCCCATTAAAGGATAACGATATATGAAGAGCAAGCATCATCAACAGAAACCGGGAACGTGCCAAGGAATATGTCAGCATCAGCTAATCATATGGCCGCCTGAGGGTGAAAAGGGATCAGTCGCTAGCGGAGTCTCCTCTAAGTCCCTCGACAGAGAAGTATTTATCTAACACAATACAAACTATAGCACACAAATGCACAATGGCCGGGTGAAAGCCAACGACCCAAGCAACCACCTGCCGTTACTCGTACCAATCCACCTCTGATGAACATTGCAAGGTGTTTACAATTTGCTCTTCCCACCAAACACCACCGCCTCCATCCATTTGCTAATGGCCTCATTACATTCCGTTGACGCTTGCCAGAGTGCCCAATGGCCCGCCGTAACCTTCGCCGTGGTGAGGTTAGGCAAATACTTGCTCATGTTACGAGATAGAGCAGGGCGGAGGGCTTCATCTTGAGTTGCAAGGATAAACAGGACAGGGATGTCCAGCTTGCGGCCCAGAAGGCTAAGGTCATCCTTGTAGTTTTGCTCGCGTGTGCGGTACCAGTTTACTAGTTGATTTGTCAGGTTTAATTGTGAAGTTAACAAGGCAGAAAGTTTCAAAGCAGGTAGACTCACATGGACCGCGAACACCATTTCTTGCATACTCATCGACGTAGTAGTTCAGCTCCTACCATAAGATTGTCAGTGAGACATTACTCTGTCAACTTTAACAAAAAAACAAGATGTGTGCGCATAGGTTTACTGGACGATGCCAAATATAAACAAGTTCAAGATAAGGTGGGAGGCGCATACCTCTTCACTTATCACCTTCGACCTCTGCAAGTGCTGGAACTTATCCAACAAAACCCCGTTAAATACATCAAACCCGAACTCACCCGTGGGGGTCCTTCCCCCATATAACGATAGCAAAAATTGTCTTATATCCCTCTTACTCTTAATTTTCTTCTCTAGGTCCCCGCTGACGAACTGCAACTGATACCCGAAATAGGGGAGCCTTGTTTTGATGAGAGTCTCGAGGGGGATGTACTCTTTTGTTGGAGGGCTGTAAGGAGTGCAGACTGAAAAGAGGTGGGTAACAAACCCCGGATGGTACAGGGCAATGCGATATATGGCAGATCCGCCCCTGGACCTCAGCGTTAGACAGCTCTATAGAGACAGAACGCATAATGGATTGACGCTATAGAGACAGAACGCATAATGGATTGACGATGCGTGGAGCTGAACAGCTCCTTAATTAAAAGTCACAGCAGAGCTTTCGAAGACGGCATTTGATACCCATGGCGTGATCGAAATTTAAGGGAATCGTTACGTGTGTTGTACATACCAATCGTGCCCTCCAAGGACAATTTGAGAGGTGCCCAGCTGGCGTGCGAGCTCCTTCATATCATCTGCGCACTGCTTGAATCCATATCGCGCGGCCGATTCTTCCGAAAACTCTGGAGCTTCCTAGGTTTTAAAGACAAAAATTTGAGCCATTTTCCAATTCCGCAATCAATTCCAGCACTGGGAAACCACGGCCTTTTCAGAGAATAAGGGAAACGTACCGTCCTTCCATATCCCATGCAGTCAGGAGCAACAACTCGAAAGCCCAGCTTTGTCAAGGCAGGAATCTGGTACCGCCATCCCATCGATATATCGGGAAAGCCATGGATCTGGGAGGATTAGCACACGCTGCTTTCTGTTCTAAACTTGCTATTGAGCTATGGATATCAAAATAGACAAAAAAGCACACGAGAAAGTGAACCAAAACAAGAGATAGGATTGGGAGATATTCGTATCAAGGAGTTGCAAATGAAATGTGATTTCTATTCAAAAGGGAACACTTGTTCAAGCTCATAGGCTATCGCATAAACTTCAAGAAGGGGTAGAACTAGCTTCTAGGAAGAGGGGAATTGGAACATACCAAGAAAACTGTAGCTTTGTACTTCCCCCCTTCGGGCAGACTCAAAAGATATCCTGTTCCCGAGTCAGATCAAGAGCGGGAAAAGGTAACGACACTGATGTGCAAAGACGTGGTTGGGAATCATCTCTGTCTCCTTGCCCTTCCCATCCGAACAAGGAGAGAGTCTCAGACTAAATATTCATACCGTAAGTTGTTCCATTTAACACTGCGGTGCAGTGCCGAATTCTTGAATCTCCGGTGACAGATATTTTGTCCGCCATGGTGTAGGGAGGGTTCAAAATAATGGACAGGATTGAACCAGTAGCCGCGATTAAATTGGGTACTGGAATTTCTCTGCTAAACCTGTTCAATCCTATTGCTATTGCCAGCTCTCTGGATTACCTAGATTATATTATATGTATATGGAAACACTCAGCTTCACGGCGTCCCTGTCCTGATATATGGAGTAACTTACATGAAAGATGCCGAGGCTCGATCGCTAGAGGATGGGTTAGCCGGCGTGGAAACGCTAAATAATTCCAGGGTTCGTGGTTGGTTGGGTAACTAGATGACTGGCTTAAAATCAAACGGATTTTCTGTGCTTGAACTTGTCGATTCAAGGGATGCATATCAATTTTAATATAGCGCATCCGGCAGCATTTCTTTTTCAGCAAAGATGCGACAGCAAATGTAAGCTGGTGAATCCTCACTCGTATCCCACGCTTTCCCCCAAAGGAACTCTTAGCAAAAGTAAGCTGCTACGATGACCTTTTGAGCCAGCGTGATTATCTTGCTCCTGCCGATACTCCAGAGGATACACCTCTTTTTGATCTTTATCGCCTTTACGGACACCTTGATCTCAATCGCACCATAGACATACGCAACGAACTGGGAAGGCTCTGGTTCAATAGGTGGTCGGTCTCATCCATCGCTGACCCAAAAGATCATTCAGAGCGTGAGCGGTATGCTGTTCTAGCCGCTATCCCTGCGCTCATGGTAACCTCGTTCAATAAACGAGTAGAGATTGGGATACCTCGATCGGCTGATGCTATTATACTTCCCGAAGAGATGGAGATGTATCTGAATGCGCCCAAGATATACGGAACGGTTCCTGAGTGTCCGAAGAAGGTTGAGCCGCTGGAAGAAGTGTTAAAGATACCTCACGAAGATGGCGAAGTGCTTGAATCATTTGAGGACCTAAGAGCAGGTAGGTAACTGCAAGAAAAGAGTATTTTATGTTGGCAGCCACATATCCACTTCATATAAGCCTACTGAGAGAGCATTTTATATCTTGTACGTGCGTGATGTGTGCACAAATATGTATGTAATCTTTTTGATGAAATGAAATACGATGCTAGTTCTTTGATATATAAGAGATGGATAGCTACATCTATGTGAGTGATTTGCCTTTCAATGTTCAAAACCTCCTTGTGCGAACGAATGCTATACCGAAGGGCATTTGCATACATTTTCACTTCGACATAGAACTAGTGGTTTGTTCCTACAGTATGTGACTGTCTGACTAACTCAAGGGCCATTACATCTCCAATACAACGGGCGTCTTCTGGTCTCTAATAATATATTCGCTCCTGGCGCAATAGCCGCATTGATCAATATCGTCCCCAGTGGTTGAGGAAGACCCAACAACATCCGAACCCATGCCACAGTCATCCAAAAGCTCATTCGAAATATTGCAGACAGTCCGCTTCTATGGAGGTATATCTCATCTCGTGCGTTCTGCACTCGGTCGTGCACTAGCCTGTCCACTCCGTATCCATCATGGATTATGCCCAAAAACACTAAGCTGCGGCTTCACCCTCCTTAGCTCTCTCAACAAATACCCATCACCTGTTCTCTCAACATCGCAGTAAAGCAACGGCGGACCATGGAGTACCACTACATCAGCGTCATCAGGGATCCGGCCAGTCCAGACATCCCCGATGGGTGGATACTGAAAAGCCCAGACGCCGAATTCTGGCGTGTGAGGAGAACCGTAAACGTTCAGCTTCCTGCCGTGTGGGAAAGTCAAGGTAATAGAACGGTCCTGGAGGTAAATAATATGCATCCAATCTAGTGAGTCAAGTAGCGATTGCTTGGAATGGGCCGGAGAAAGGCGAGAAGGAAATCGTCGGGCAAAATCCGGATCAAGCACGAGATCGTGGTTACCAGCTATAACAAGGTTAAGTCACCAGCGTGGATGAGAAGGTCGCCATTGGGAACCTCTAGTGTGGAGCTGTGTGTGTCTGAGATACAAACAACCCGAATCGGGCTGGCTACGGATAGCGGTGGCTGAGGCTGCCGAAGACGAAGGTGAGTTTCGTAGAGAAATTTACCCAATGTTCCGCAAGAGATTACAGGGGGAGTCGTCGTTTGGTTATAAGGGTACGGCAATAGGTGGCTGTTCATTTTCGCTGAGTTAGGAAATGCCGGTGAACAAATGACAGTTTTGGTGCAAAACCCTTTATGAATACGCCTGGGAACGGCTCGTCCCCTCCACCGACATCTTGTCTAATAATAACTAATTGATCAGCCCACTCCATAAATTTGCCTATACAAGTCATTGATAGTTTCCAACACGGGGATGGTAACTACTTTTTGACACATCTTTCCCCAGCATATGATGTCTGAAGGCTGGACGGGGGAATTGCCGTGCTATGAAACACCCTCGTGAGGGTATCCAACAGCATCACATGGAAAGCATATTAGGATCGAATGTATAGAACACCCATGAATAATAATGTATGCCAATTTAGAAATCAATCATTGATTTCAAGCCCGTGATTCAAGGAAAGAAAGAATGAAAGAAGTGGGCAAAGGGCAATCAAATAAATTCGCTCAACATTTCATTATCCCGCTCCCATGTTCTTGGTCTTTGATTTCCATCACATCAGACAGATAGAGCTTACCCGACAAACCATTCGCAACTAATAAGATGCCCACAAACACATATATATGGTGGATATGAAACAGGTAGGAAGGGAAAAAATAAAGGACGCTCACAAGCTGCACTGCGGGTCGAATGACTGGAAATGATAAGTAGGCGTGCCAAAAAAAAAAAAAAAAAAGAAAAAAAAGAAAAAAAAGAAAAAAAGAAATGCAGGAAAAAGGTGACCGATGGGAATAAGGGGGTGCAAGCGAGAAGGCGAAGTTGCTTGATCGATTTACAGGGTAACGTGGAAAGTTTGCCGGAAGGTGGAGTAAAGGAGAACGAACAGAGGGTATTGGGGGAACCTTTGGAGGACAAGTGTCGAAGAGGGGTGCTCCGTGGGGTATATATGACCAAAAATTGAGGAAATTGAACGCATATGCTGCCCGAGAAGGTTGAAGCAAATTTAGTCTAATATATAACAGTATCCTCCTTGTCTTCCAGCATGACTTCTCCCGAATCATCTTCAGTTGACTTCTGATGGTGGCTAACGCTAGCAGTGGATGGGTGGTCGTTGTGAGTTTTAGTAGGGGATGAAGGTTCGTTAGTAGCATCAGAAACAGTAGGATGGTCAGAGGTAGTTGGGGCAGTAAGAGTAGGGATGTGTCTTGGAGATTCAGATTTAGTAGTTGTGGTTGGCTTAGGTTTATGGTCAAGTTCAGGAGGGTTGTTATTACTATTATTGTCAGCACCCACCGTGTCGGATTTTAAATGTACTGTGTCCTGAGTATCAGAAAGCGTATTATTCCCTGGAAGCACGGCTGAGCTTATTGAATCTGTAACGGTTCTTTGGTTGTCACCTTGCTCCGGTACAGGATCGGAGGGCGATGGTGGATTTTTGGCTTCAAACTCCTCGACTTCCCTCGCGATGGCCGCTTTGCAATCTTCGATTTGCTGCTCAATCCTGGCTTCTTCCTCAGGTCGAAGTTCCCATGGCTTATAGTACTAATTATTAAAATGTTAGCCCACACTACACAACGCGGCATGCGAAGTATCTCTTTTACGTACAAGAACTGGTTCAGTTGTTGTTTTGAGGAAATGAGCCATGGCTAGCTGGTTCGAGTGTCGGAGACGCATCTAAAGAAAGCAAACGAAATTAATATATAGGAAAATTCAGCGCGAAGCGAACACACTGTAGGATAGCAGCAAATGCTAACATACCGACTGCGCATCATAAGTTCTCTGTTGCTTCTTTCGCATCGCCAAGAGATCTTCTTGCTTCTTCCGTGTCAGTCTATTGTACTCTTCCTCCTGCATACGGAGTTTTGCCTGTTGTTTCTTCTCGATATCGGCGCGTCGTTTCTGTGCTGCTGTAGATGAGCTCTGTGAGAGTGTACCCAGCAGCGCGCCAAACAATCTTTGACCACGCTTGCGCTCCTCCGCTACGCCACTCTTCCGTCGGGCATCCCTCTGGTCTGTGGCATTACTGATGCTTTTAGATGTCGTGGCTGTCGGGGAGGATGTTTGGTTCTCCTTGGGTTCGAGATGTTCGTTGTCTGCGCTCAGCCGGCGACGTTTGCTCTCATTGTCGTCCGCTGGGGACTGGCGGCGCTTTGGCCTGCTATCTGAGCTTTCTTCCTGCTCGGGAAGTGCAACGGCCGATGTAATTGTCCTAGGACACAGAAAATATCATGTTAGTTTCGTGTGCTCAACCAGCTAGTCACTTGAACGCAATGCCAAACGTAGGTTTGACTTACTCCTCCATCGCTTGTAAAGGTGTGTTCGGGTATAATAAATCAAAGAATTAAGTGGATTAAGATAGAGAGACACCGCCGCTAAAAAGAAAGACCGATAGATCAGAGAGGAGTCTTTGTCCCGCGTCGGTCTAATCTGTCTTCTATGAACTAGATGATGCGCCGCAACGGAGTCTCAAGGAGGGAGCTATCCGTGGACGGACGGGACGCGGGATGGGAAAGTTATTTAATTGGGTCTAGCGCAATACAGACCCTTGAATTACAAATTTCCTTCCGGAAACTGACATATTTCCAACTAGCAATGCCCAGTTCTCTACATATTTAAGAGCCAACGGGTGTTGTCCTCTTGTTAACTATAACTCAAGCCCAAGCTCTATACTAGCGAATAAATATTTGCCTGACAGACTACCAAGCCCAAGCAAATAGTGGCGGCTTCTGTGCCAGACCCAGACAGTGTCCAGCAATCCGCGTCAATTCCACGCAAAACTGAGTAACTTGACACGATCTCTTCCAAAATACTGCGAGGACACAAGAAGCGGTTGTTTCCTATAATCCATAGCACGAAGCCGTTCGTAATCGGGCACGCCCGCTACTTGAAGAACAAGCCGCAACCTCCCACATCCTGAACAGCCACAACCACCGCTACAACCATGTCCCGTCACCACCCCGATCTCGTAATGTGCCGCAAGCAAACCGGAATTGCCATCGGCCGTCTCTGCGATAAATGCGACGGTAAATGTCCGGTCTGCGACTCGTACGTGCGGCCCACTACCCTCGTACGCATCTGCGATGAATGTTCTTTCGGCAACTACCAGAACAAGTGCATCGTATGTGGCGGGGAGGGGATTAGTGACGCCTTTTACTGTTTCGAGTGTACTCGATTGGAGAAGGATCGCGATGGGTGCCCGAAGATTATCAACCTGGGTAGTTCGAGGACGGATTTGTTTTTCCAGCGGAAACAGCATCGGGCAGGGGTATCTTGATGGGGCGTATCTGAGCTACGGGTTTTGGGTTTAATGGGAATGATGAAACCTGTCCTTTCTTGGGGAGAGCAGAGAGAGAGGTAGTGAGATATTGGAAAGGGGCAGAGAAAAGAAGAAGGCGTTCAATTATTTATGTTGACCGTTTATTGATTTTGATTCACGAATTTTAACGGGATATCGAGCTTGCGACGGCGTCCAGGCTACGGGTTTTACAAATACCAAAAGGATCTTAGATTTCTAGAGGGTGCGGAACTGGCTACGATATATAGGGGGATACCGGAGAGCAATAATAAGAAAAAGACATTCTGACAATAGCAATATCCGACGATTCTTGAAATTGGAACAGCACCCTGGACTCGTGATCAGACCAGCTTAGACCAATCCTGAGAAACGGGACCAATTCAAGGGCGGCAGACATCAAACCTTTCACCGGCCGGGTCTCTTGGGTCTTGCAAATGTTTGTCGAACCTCTTCCTTTCGTGGATTGACTTGTTCCGCAAGGCTTCCAGGTGTGATATCTGTGGGTTCCGATGCCTCAATCTGAGAGAAAAACCCCGCGAAATTAGCGTTTGCACACGAAAGTAACGCCCTCATTATTCTTCACATGGATCATAGGTACCTTATGCGCAACTTCTACACCCTGTAGAACAGCAAGCTTCACCACGTCATTCCGCGAGCTAGCGTGCAATAGGCGCTCCTTGATTACGGAACCAGATGGGCAGGTGTATATGAAGATGACTGCTTTGGGGTCCGGATAGTAATAAAATGTGTACTGGGCCTTCGAGTCTGAAATCAGGTTTGATATGGAATCAGGTTCGACATTCGACTCAGTGGAGATTAGAGTGAGAGTTTCGGTTGGCACGTCAATAGTCTGTATATTATAGCACAAAAGCAAATTAGATTAGCATAATGGAATAGTCAGCACGCCATGTCTTGATTCCAAGAAGTGTGGCCACTTTACGACTCCCATGGCCATCGATTAGGAGGTCAGACAGTAGGACAATAGGATAGGAAAACAACTCACCAACCGGATAACCGAACCACTTTCCCGCACCTGCTGGAATGCCTCTTTTACCCCATTCCCAATTCCAATATGCAGTTCACTCTCCCCGTTTCCATTCCCACGCCCAATGGTCCCTCCAATCCCCACATCCCTCCGGGTCATACTCCTCGCTTGCTCCTCCTGCCTCCTAACTTCATTCAATTCCCTCTCCTTCTTGCCCATCAAATCCTCCCTCCTACTCTCCGCTTCGTTATCATCCGCAGCTCCGCCTGTGGCCGCATTCCGATCCGCATCCCTCTCCTTCCAAACGGCAGCATCAAGAACCTCCTCCGCATCCGCGGCGAAGATCGTGCTGGCGAATTTCTCGCTGCCAAGCTCGCGGACGAGAGTTGCCCGTGTGCTTGCAAACAGGGTCTTTGCACGTACGGGCGATGTGGACGGGATATATGTGAGAGCTATGAGGGCGTTGGAGCCGGCGTTGCGGCGGAGGATGAGGTAGATGGGGGTTTTCGGTTGCGTGTGCGGGGCAAGGAGGGGTAGGGAGTTGCTGAATTTGGTATCATCGTCAGCGGAGGATAAGGGGAAAGCGATCGGTTCCAGAGGGGTGAGACGCTCGGAGGAGATTGTTACGGGGAGACAAAAGTGAGAAGGCGTCGAGACGAAGGCATTGAATGCGTCGTGCAGCTCAGGGGACACTGGGGAGCGGCGCGGGGTGGTTGGCTTGTTAGCGTTTGGGGTTTCATTAAGGGGTGTAAATGGCGAAATCTAGAGGTGATGATATACCTGATATTCCAGACTGCATGTTGTACTTCTCTTTCAGGATGTGAAAGCTGCCCTATAATTGTATGTACGTTTGTTGCAGAGAGGATGAAACGGGATGAACTTGCTTGTCGACTTGGGCGAGGTTAACCTGGCTTAGCCTCAGCTTCCAACTAACTTAGTTACTAGTTAGTTAACTAACTACCCCTCCTTCCTAGTTACCTACTACTTGCCAACATCCATGTTGTCTAACCTACGGAGTAACTACATAGTAGTGTTTCAATCCAATTGTTTTTTCTATCTCGAAATCTATATCCTTTGCGATTAATTTTATTATTTTATTATCTGAGAGACATTATAAGAATTATGGTTTTGGCTGCGGAAATGCTGCTCCCCCCTTTATTTCAGTGATTGGTTGTCAATGGATTGGACTGGAAACCTCAAGCATGGCTGAACCTCAAGAGAGGCGATAGCATTAAAATAACCTCTATATTCTTTCCCTATATACATTTTCCCAAGTGGCAATAAATAAACAATGCCAGAATTTATCGATACAGGAATAAAAATTGTTTAGCTCCAGAGAGAAAAGCAGAAAAATAAGAGATGAGGGTAGGGTAGAGGCAGGAAAACAATAATGGCGCTAATATCCACACAAAGAAATTGGATATCTATCTAAAGCAATAGAAATCTTAAATGGAATCAACATGCAAGTTCCAAGGTTACACCTCTGTATAACCCATAGTTACCCGCAATGGAAAAGCGTAAGTAAGAGCCGCTGCCACAGTTTTTTGTTACTTCTAAATACAAGGTGATTCCCCTTGATACCCAGCGCAGACACTCAGGGACAAAAAGCCACGAGCTAAATCACTCAGTATACTTGTTGCCGCCCACAATCGACCACGGCGACCGCTCCAGGCGCTCCTTTATGAACTCATACACGGTAAACGTAACGGCCTGGCCAGGTGCAACACGCATGACACGAGGTGTGATACCCTTATAGAATGCTCTGGCGCCCTCCTGCTTGAACATCTCGCTCGAAATGGTCGTAATGCGTGAAAGAGCCGTTTGGCCGGGTTGAGCGGGAGTTCTTTGCAGCCGGGTTTTGATCGTATCAATGGGCGCGTTGGAGAAGGGGCCCATAGCTCCGGATATCAAACCAATAACCATGGTCTGGTAACTAGGAAGCTCCTTCTCGGAATATTGGGGCTGCCATTTTTGAAGGAGCACCTTGAGTTCGGTATATGCAGTGAAGTTGACGGCTTGGTTGGTACCCTGTCGGAGAGCAGTGAGAGAAACACCGCGATATAGAGCGCCGAAACCCTCCTCCCGCACAACAGTGAGGAGAGCATGTGGCGCGCTGCGGTATTTGGGGGTGTCGAGAGGATCAGCTAGGCTGTGCTGTTGCGCCTGGAGACGAATCTTGATCACTTCCATGGGCGTGACGACTGCGACGGCTTCTGTAACACCAGCCGCAAGACCAGCTAAAATTGGACATATAATGTAAGTGATATTGAACTGAGAAAGGGATAAATAAACCCTTATCAAAGGTTTACTCCATCTAACGTACCAAGCATGTTAGCAGAACCGGAAAGTTTCCCTGTTTCCTTATTACTGAGAGCCTGCTTGCACCACCCATATGATGTGAATCGAATGGCCATCTTCGGTACTATTCCGCTCAAGACAGCACCAAGACCCTTATATAAACCAAGAGCTGTCTCTCTCCTCACAATTTCCCGCCCAGTCGAAACGAACCCCCGAGGTTTTACCTGCACCACATACACCGTTAGCCTTAACGCCAGGATCGTAGTTTAAATGCCAGACAAGTTAGATGAGAGCTTACCCCTGGTGCCCGCGCTCTTTTTGACAGTTGCATTCGGACCTTAACGGTATCTAGACCACAGGAAAATGAGCCCTTGTCCAACGCATACCTAAAATTCGAAGCCTTGATACAGGCAAAAAAAGGCAAAATTCCATACCTAGAGGATGGCACACGAGTGCTTCCATCATTCCAGCAGTACCACCAGCTATATTCTCAGTCAGTCACAATGAAGCCCTAATCTGGCTTTCGGATGGAGGGTTATTGAACGAACCAATTAAGTTGGTAGCCGCCGAGGCGGGCTTTTTCCCATTGGGACCATTTACATTCTTTGAAGACATGTTGATATGGTGTGAAGGAGTGGAGAGGGAACGAAAGGAGAGAGGGAGGTGAAGAGAGAGTATGCGCAGGTTCAACGGCCCCTAACTGCTATCTTTAAACGGCGGAGTTTCTAATATCCAATTTTGAGCAATGCAATTGAATGAGGAAAAGAAAAAGTCGTAGAAGGAGAGTTAAAGGAATGAGTAACTGCCTATCAGAAATGCCGAGGAAGAGAATTAAAAAAAAAGGCACAATAAGCTTTTTCTATAACAAGAGGATAATATATCTAGGACGGGAAATTTAGAAATTGAGACCCAGTAGGTAGCAGTTGGAGCTAATAATGATGCAAAAAAGGTAAGCCCTATTTTATTTTCAATATCCCCGAAATTATTTGTACAGTTAAAACACGGCGCCTTGAACAACCAGGAAGCGGTATTATCTCGCTGTGCAGGCCCATCCCATGGGCGAGCGGAAGGATGGAGGATGATGACCTCTGACACCGGAAGCAGGGTCAAAAAAGGCCATTCCAAGAGAAATACCAACCGGGATTCTTTTTTCTCATTTGCCTTTGTGAAAACGGGTAGGGAAGAAGAAAAATCGCTGAGCATCCGAAGAAGAATCAACCTCATTTACTACCATTTCTCCATACAGCTTCCTTCCTCTATATTACGCCATGGCCCGTGGCGAGAGTTGAAAACGTCCAGATCTCTCAGTCCCGAGGTTCAACGAGCTAAGCTGGAGATCCCGTAACAATCCCACCCTCCTCTATAATAAGAATTACCACGCCTGGCGCAAGCTGGACCTGCATGACCCTTCCCAGATCTCACCTGATTCGAATGAAAGAAAGAAAAAGACATGTGAACGCATCCCACCAATAACCCTTAACATCATTCCGTGATATCTCTCCCCAAGCTTAGCACTCTACAGCGTGCTTCACATGCCTCTCGGCAACCACCGATGGAGTTTAGTGCGGGCAACAGCAAGCCCATGTTTCCTTTTTCTGCGGGGCAACAATTTCGCGCTTAGGGCTTCTGTCTCCCCGAAAACGGGTAATCTCGGGGCTTTGTGGGGAAGTCCCCGAGCTGGGTTTTCGCGGCTTTGCCGAATGGATGAACTACGTGATTAACTATGTAAGCGAAACCCACTCGACGCTGCGGAGGTACCTCGCGCGCGAGAAATATGTGCGAAGGTACTTTTTTCTGCAGAAGCTGGCGCCGGCAGACTCGCTCCAAAAGATGCCGAGGTTCGGCTAAGATAAACAAGCTGAGGCAAGGAAGGAACATAAGTTTTTGGAAAAATAGATATTTCACCTCCTGGTTGAGAAGAGTCATCGGGAGCTACGGCTTGGAGGGAGTCATACAGCGGGAATATGGTTTTACTTAAATTTGAAGTCTCGGTATTTTTTTTTAGACCAGTTTTATTTGGAGCTCGCGGCTCGCGGCTAGCGGTAGGCTAGAGTTATGGGATGCCTCCGCCGCAATAACTGTTTTGCCTAGTGTAAGTTACGTCTGTACTGCCAAGCAGAGTTGCGAAAAGATGTAGATGAGCACAGGGCTCAAAAATGTATAAACCGAGTCCGGGGGTCAAGGTCGTTGCATTAATTGTATAAAATAGTTTTTCTCCAAACGCGTACTTATAGAATCCAGGCCTTGGCCTTGGTCGAAGCGTACATTGCATCGGTGGTACTGTAGACATGTTTCCATTTCGACCCCACATATATATATATGGGAGAGCGTTCTGATATTGCGGAGCTCTGCCAGCCAGGTGCTATGCCTCACATAAAGCTACTAAGAGTGGTTGGCTATATAAGTGAAGAGAATGGTAGTTCTTCCTTTGACACGAATATTGGCTACAATAGCGGTTGGACAGGCGAAAGCGGCCAGAAACGGTAACTTAGCGAACAGATGCAACTGGAGGGAGCGGTGATGGCCATTGACATTGAGGAGAGGAAGATATTCATTCGGATGGAGCTTTCCAGGGGGCGAATTAGCCTGCGTAAAATCTTCGATAACCAAGCAAACTCTTTTCCCAGAAGGGATGATGGCCTGATTGGATGCGGCAGGTTCAGTGAGAGAAAATTGGGTAGAATGGCTTGCATATTTCAATTTCCCGCTCTACGTCGCGACTGGGAACTGCTCTATGCAATTCCCTTCATGGCAGTAGAGTATCAAAATTAGGATGAAATATATATTGTCCGCTTTCGTGCATTGAATCTTGTGACTCCTCAAGTATTTAATATTTGCAAATCAATTGGAGGCTCTCGCCTAAACTTCGGATTCATTGTAGAAGGAGACAAACTGATGCATAATCAACGCCGTCTATAGGTTTCATGCTGTGATTTTCTTTGAATTCGCAGACAGAATCATGCGCTGCATCACGTCGCGGTTGCCTGTTTTCCACCAATCAGGCGAACAGGAAAATTTCAAAAGTCTTCCTCAGATATTATTATATACTCCCTCCGTTTAGAGTTTTGCACCACATTCATTGTTCCACTCGTCTCAAGAGTATCACACTACTGCTTTTCGACGTGCGGGAGGGATCTGAAGTTTCTGGGGAAATGGTATACAGCATGGCAGCATGTCTTCTCCACATTACAATTTTGTCCCCACCACCACCCCAACTAGTCGCTGTTAAGCAGCGACTAGTTAAGTGCCAACACCCAGGATGGAGCAGCGACATTCCCGGTCTCTGCATTTCTATTTCCATCTCCCTCTTATTTCTTTGTCAAGGCCACTGCGGAGGAGGAAGGCGCTTTCCCTTTGCTTTTCTGCGCAACCTATAATCCACTTTGATAAATAGACTGTGGGAAATCGTGTCGCTGGGCTTATAGTGTAGCCCATCTATTCCCCATGGAAACAAAATATATGGCTATCGTTTTGGGATATATTATGGTCACAGCGTTGGCATATATAAATGCGAGCTGGCCCCCGATAGTAACGCCTCGATAGTGAGAGGAGACGGGAATATACTATCACATTTTTTGGATACTTCCCCAGAAGATTTGCCAATGAACCCAATCAGCCGAGGGGTGGATATAAAGCATTTCATATCCTACTCATCAGAGGTGTTCTCCCTGCGGCGGCGACATTTTTTAGAGACGCAACATACATATTCAGAAATATTCCAGTCATGGAACCCCGATCCATCTCTCCACTGCCCGCGGGGAGAGCGAAGAAGCCCCTTTCCACAATTATTCTCAAATTCATTCTTCACCAGTGGCTCCTTATCGGCTTCGGCATTGGCTGCGTGCTCGCATACTACTTTCCGGAGGTGGGCAAACACGGCGGCATCATTAAAGCTGAATACTCTGTCTTATATGGTGCCGTGGCCCTCATCTTCCTGATAAGCGGCCTTTCCATCCCCAAGGACAAACTGCTCAGGCATATGATGAATTTTCGTCTGCACCTCCAAGTCCAGGGTGTCTCATTTTTGGTTATCCCCGCCATAATAACTGGACTGGTGCGTTTGATTGATGCCACGGACCACGCTGAAAAGATCGATCGGGCTGTGTTGGCTGGGTATGTAATATTGGCATGCCTACCGACCACCATTGCGTCAAATGTGGTGATGACTCGGGCTGCTGGTGGGGATGAAGCGGCGTCGTTGGTCGAGGTATTCATTGCGAATATCTTGGGTCCATTCGTTACGCCTGGTTGGGCGGTGGCGTTAATGCCCAAGTCTAGCACATTTGATGTGTGGAAGGAATCGAACGGTGACTTACAAGGGATGTACCAGAGCGTTTTTAAGGGGTTGGGGTTGAGTGTTTTCCTGCCGCTGGCGGTGGGCCAACTTGTTCGATGGAAGTTGGCAGAGAGGACAGCGTGGGCGATGGAGACATTTTATTTGGCGAAATTGAGTACTGCATGCCTGATTTTGGTTTTTTGGTGAGTTGTGCGTTTGAAAACCTTTTCACTCTACACTATTTGGAGGGAAAGAGTATTCACCTTCAGGGAAACTATATGTGGCATTTTACCCCTTTCCATCTAATATATCTTCTCCATATATAGGGCCAGCTTCTCGACCTGCTTCGCAACTGGTGCTCTCGAATCACTTAGTCATGAAACAATTGCCTTCGTTACGCTGTTTAACGTACTATTCTACATCTCCCTCACATGCGTCAGCTTCATAATCGCTTATCCTCCCTTATCGCTTATACCCCAGGCAAAGCCCACAACAACAAGAGTAGTTACACCGAAGAAAGCGAAACTACATTTCCTCTTAAATGCCGTCCTCACCCGCCTCATCAAGCAAACGCCACCGCTCGAAACCATCGCAATTTGCTTCTGCGGCCCGGCGAAGACCACCAGTCTTGGCATTCCCATGCTCTACGCCATGTATCCTACGATAGATCTGCATCTTGTCGCCAAGTTAACGGTACCAGTTATCTTGTATACGACGGAGCAGATCTTTTGCGCACATTTTATGGTACATTTGTTTAAGAAGTGGGGCAAAAGGAGGCAGGCAGAGTGGATTGAGAAGGAAAAAAGGGCACAAGGGGGAAGAGATAGTCCGAGAACTGGTTGTGAGAGCGAGCACACAAGTCTGAGTACCAGTGAGGGTGAGACAGCTGAGGGGATGCATGGGGCACTGGATGGGCGTGACGATACTGTTGATGTTGATGTTGAGCGGGGAGAAAAAGGAATAGGAATGCAGATTCCGGTAATTCTTTGAAATTTTTGGATTTTGGATTTCTTTCTTTTGCTAGGAACTCTCACGACTATATATAATATAGAGAGGGGATTGGATATTGGATCAGTCGGTTGGGATTTTTGTTCGAGGCAAGGGAGGATGATAAATGATAGGTTTGGATTAACAAGGCAAGGAGACACATGGCATCTAACAGAGATGTAGCTGGGAAGGGAGTTAATGGATCTTTTTGTTTGGTATATACAACGGCACAGGTCGAAAGTTACCTAAGCTGGAAGGAAATACAAACGGTAGAAGTGCTCTTGTCACGGCTATATGAAAACAGGTAGATAGCCGAGATAGGATTTGGGAAATATTATTTGCAGTTCACCTATTTCATTATTCATCCGTTTCAAAACATGAAGAGTTGCTATTACCTATGTACAGATATGCAGACCGTTTAAAATAGCCAAGAGCCAATATACCAAGGAAAGAAAAATATGTAAATGATTGAACCACGAAACCATCTTGTACTATACACGAAACTACATGTAACCGTACCGAAGAAAATATATCTATAAAGAAAGAATAACCTATGTGCACATACCCTTCGCTATATGTAGCTAACCTTAAGGCCCATGCCTAAAGTACCGCGGATTTTCTGCCATCCAGAATGCGTGATTCTGCGAAGCCGATTTCGTACATCCGCTCGACTAAGCGCCATGAGAACACCGAACACAACCAGCAGTGCTCTCAGAAATGAAAGCGGATTTGCAGACATGGAACGCCCCATGCTCCTGAGCAGCGTGACTAGAAAATTGGCAAACATGCGCAGTTGCCTCATAGCTGGTTTTGGCTTATCGACCTTCTTAACTTGTTTTGACGATTCAGTCGACCGGCCTGGCACTGTGGCTGAGGATGAAACTCTACCGGACTTCGTTGCGGGTTTGAGGGTTCGATTTTTGGCTGAGGAAGGAGAGCCAGCATTTGGGTTTCCATTCTCGATTCCATAGTCGACTTCGCTACTTGTTCTCTGGTGGCCGTTCATCCCCTTTGCTGCATGCGATTTCTCCGCAGCGGCCCTTTGTTCTGCTGCTCGCCTTTGCTGTTCCTCTTCCGCTTGTCGCCGGCGTTCTAATTCTGCCTCCTTTTCCCGCTGGAGTTCCGCAGCCCGTAACGCGCCTTGCTCCTTTTCTTCTCGTAGATTCTCTAGCATCTGCAGGAAGGCTTCTTTCCGCTCGTCATCTAGAACTTCGCTCAGTGTAATGAACTCCTTAGCGTAGTCCCATTCATCGTTCCGAGGGAGGACATGGAGTGTGAAGAGCTCTAATATCCGGACCCGCGCAGACAGATCTTTTGGCGTATCTGTCCCATTCGCACGGGATGCTCTCTGTTTTCGCTTCCGACCTGGTGAGTTATCTATGTGAGCTGCGAGGTCAAGGTCAGGTTGGCCGTAGGACGATAGGTAATTTTCGAGGCGCTGCTGGTTGAGCTTTTGCGACGGTGAATGAGTAAGAAGAAGAGTAGCGCTGTACGAAAACAATGATGATGACACGTCAGCATTCTTGAAAAATGATTTTAAGCCTCGCTGCATCCTTGATTGAAACTCACATGTTGTAGACGACATCCGCATCTATGGAGCCATCCCTGCCACCGTATCCGACCTGTGATACGATGTTCCAGAGCTCACCACCGCGGACTTTGGAAGCCAAAGCTTTCCATTC